AGGGTCCAAAATTTTACTTTGTTTGATTTCATCAAAAATTGAATTATTGGGGTTCTTTGATATGCCGAATCTAACCGTGTATTTAGATTCTTAATTTTTGGTTCTGTTTTCAAATTGGTCTACATAAAGGTCCAAAGGGTCCAAAATTAAACTTAGTTTGATTTCAACAAAAATTGAATATATGGGGTTTTTTGATATGCTGAATCTAACCATGTATTTAGATTTTTGATTATGGGCCCAGTTTTCGAGTTGGTCCAAATCGGGGTCCAAAATTAAACTTTGTTTGATTTCAACAAAAATTGAATATATGGGGTTCTTTGATATGCTGAATCTAACCATGTATTTAGATTTTTGATTATGGGCCCAGTTTTCAAGTTGGTCCAAATCGGGGTCCAAAATTAAACTTTGTTTGATTTCAACAAAAATTGAATATATGGGGTTCTTTGATATGCTGAATCTAACCATGTATTTAGATTTTTGATTGTTGGGCCCCGTTATCAACTTTGTCCACATTGAGATCAAAAGGGTCCAAAATTAAACTTTGTTTGATTTCATCAAAAATTGAATATATGGGGTTCTTTGATATGCTGAATCTAACCATGTATTTAGATTTTTGATTATGGGCCCAGTTTTCGAGTTGGTCCAAATCGGGGTCCAAAATTAAACTTTGTTTGATTTCAACAAAAATTGAATATATGGGGTTCTTTGATATGCTGAATCTAACCATGTATTTAGATTTTTGATTATGGGCCCAGTTTTCAAGTTGGTCCAAATCGGGGTCCAAAATTAAACTTTGTTTGATTTCAACAAAAATTGAATATATGGGGTTCTTTGATATGCTGAATCTAACCATGTATTTAGATTTTTGATTGTTGGGCCCCGTTATCAACTTTGTCCACATTGAGATCAAAAGGGTCCAAAATTAAACTTTGTTTGATTTCATCAAAAATTGAATATATGGGGTTCTTTGATATGCTGAATCTAACCATGTATTTAGATTTTTGATTATGGGCCCAGTTTTCAAGTTGGTCCAAATCGGGGTCCAAAATTAAACTTTATTTGATTACAACAAAAATTGAATATATGGGGTTATTTGATATGCTGAATCTAACCATGTATTTAGATTTTTGATTATGGGCCCAGTTTTCAAGTTGGTCCAAATCGGGGTCCAAAATTAAACTTTGTTTGATTTCAACAAAAATGGAATATATGGGGTTCTCTAATATGCTGAATCTAACCGTGTATTAAGTTTTTGGATTTTGGGCCCCGTTTTTAAATTGGTCCACATTGAAGTCCAAAGGGTCCAAAATTTAACTTTGTTTGATTTCATCAAAAATTGAATTATTGGGGTTCTTTGATATGCCGAATCTAACTGTGTATTTAGATTCTTAATTTTTGGTTCCGTTTTCAAATTGGTCTACATAAAGGTCCAAAGGGTCCAAAATTAAACTTAGTTTGATTTTAACAAAAATTGAATTTTTAGGGTTCTTTGATATGCTGAATCTAAACATGTATTTAGATTTTTGATTATGGGCCCAGTTTTCAAGTTGGTCCAAATCGGGGTCCAAAATTAAACTTTGTTTGATTTCAACAAAAATTGAATATATGGGGTTCTTTGATATGCTGAATCTAACCATGTATTTAGATTTTTGGATTTTGGGCCCCGTTTTTAAATTGGTCCACATTGAAGTCCAAAGGGTCCAAAATTAAACTTTGTTTGATTTCATCAAAAATTGAATTCTTGGGGTTCTTTGATATGCTGAATCTAACCATGTATTTAGATTTTGGATATTGGACCATAATAGGTGAATGTCCAATTTAAAATTTTTAAGTTCTTAGACCACAGTCATTCTGTGTCAGAAACCTATGCTGTGTCAAATATTTAATCACAATCCAAATTCAGAGCTGTATCAAGCTTGAATGTTGTGTCCATACTTGCCCCAACTGTTCAGGGTTCGACCTCTGCGGTCGTATCAAGCTGCGCCCTGCGGAGCATTTTATTTAAATTGGTCTACATTAAGGTCCAAAGGGTCCAAAATTAAGCTTAGTTTGATTTTAACAAAAATTGAAAACTTGGGGTTCTTTGATATGCTGAATCTAAACATGTGTTTAGATTTTTGATCATGGGCCCAGTTTTCAAGTTGGTACAAGTTGGGGTCCAAAATTAAAATTTGTTTGATTTCATCAAAAATTTAATTCTTTGGATTCTTTGATATGCTGAATCTTACCATGTATTTAGATTTTGGATATTGGACCATAATAGGTAAATTAAAAAATTTTAAGTTCTTAGACCACATTCATTCTGTGTCAGAAACCTATGCTGTGTCAAATATTTAATCACAATCCAAATTCAGAGCTGTATCAAGCTTGAATGTTGTGTCCATACTTGCCCCAACTGTTCAGGGTTCGACCTCTGCGGTCGTATCAAGCTGCGCCCATCGGAGCATTTTATTTAAAACCTGGCTTGAGAGACAAAACCTAAGTTTCTCCTGAAATGAAATAAAGGGATACTTAATGCCTTCCCAGTACTCAGGGCAAGTAAGAGAAAAAAATATGACTGGCATTGCCAAAGACGTTAATTACAGTTAGTGAAACATTTTTTTTATGAATTTGTAGGGAGTGTTGTATCCTATCTATTCATCTACACATCCTTCCATCACTCACATATTTGTTTCTCATGTTATATTTCCTAATATTTATGATTGTTACTTATGATATAATATAATATAAGATATATGCAACCTTCACCCCTTCTTTCCAAATTTAGAACAGGAATGTTACCTTATGTTGTGTAGATGCAGTAAAGTGTGTCCCTTATTTGTGATGTTTTCTCTGTTTTAACTTACCTCACACTGAAGGTCTGTGTGAGCTATTGCCATCAACAAGTGTCTGTTATAATCATACTTAATTTTATTTTAACTTCTTCTCCAGGCCAATCTGAATAAAAGTTGGTCACAATTTTCCTTTGGGTATTTAGTTTAAAAACTATGTTGTGTATGCCTGCCTTGCAAAAAAAGACATGGCTGCTGTAACATGGAATAGAACATAACAAGTCAAATCAAGCTTTTGACTCATATAAAAAAAAGCAGCTGCCCCAAGAATGCATTATACACCTTTATTGTGCATATTGAAATTGTTGCAAAAATAAAATAGGATATTTAGAAGGCATTTAATCAGAAGCAAATAAAATGGCTCTGTAGTAAAACTTGCATGAGGATACCCTTTGATGTATAAATATTGTGTCAAATATAACTGTTAAAAATCATATATTAAACTCTTGATTGACAAACAAGAAAATTTTCGAAGTCAAAAGTGAGTCTACATTCACCAATCCTTACAACAGTGTTAAGTTTGAAGTAATTTGATCCAAGAATACTTGAGCTAGTGCATGATATTTAAAGTATTCTTTTTATTTATCTGATGGTCAAAGTCCCATAACTCTGGAATGACATTTCAATAATTTTTTTTTAAATTGAACAGTGTGTTGTATTTACCAAATCCAACAGTTATTTCAAGTTTCCAGTAAATCAATCCAAGCAAACTCAAGATATAGTACAGCATGTGAAATATTTACTTAAAGTCTTTTAACTCTGGAACGACAAACTAGAAAATATAATATAACCGAAAGGGAGCTTCCTTTTATCATTCCAGACAATAACGTAAAGAATATTCTTGTCATGATCACTGATCCATGAAATGATAAAAATGACAGTTGAATCCTATCTGATGGACATGTAGACTTTACAAGGATCCCATATACCAAATAAAGTATATGTAATCCTATAACTCATAATAAGTTAGAATCTGTAACAACTATACAGAATGAACTATGAAACTTTGACAGAAGCTTTTTCGTGGTCAAGAAATAGCATCTGAAGAAAGATTTAGACTTTTTTTTTTGGTATTTTGATGATACATTGACCTAGTGGTGGTGGTCAACATGCTTTTATTACACTGACCACAGCAATCGAAGGGTGCACAGAAACCTTTACAATTTTTTTGCATTCTACACTATTTTCACAAACAATAACAGATACCAAGAAGCTAAAAACAACATAAATGATCTGCAAGCTAGGGTCCACAAAAGGAAGGCAGGAAGATTACAGAAAAAATATTAATTACTGTTGACTAATAATTATTAATCCCCTATCGACAAAGTCGAAGGGGACTTTAGGTTTGCACTCCATCTGTCTGTCTGTCCGCCAAATCAGTTTTCCACACTTTTTTTCTTCGTGCTTGAAGATATTGATTTGATATTTGGTGTATTGTTTTATCATGACAAGTTACAGATATACAGATCAAGTTCAAATTTTGTTCCGGTCTGATGATTTTGTGCAGAGTTATGGTCCTTGAACTTAAAAAATTCACTCAAATAATCAGTTTTCCACACTTTATTTTGTCATGCTTGAAGATCTTGATTTGATAATTGGTATATAGTTTCATCATGACAAGTTGTAGATCAAGTTCGAATTTTGTTCCGGTCTGATGATTTTGTGCAGAGTTATGGTCCTTGGACTTAGAAAATTCACTCAAATAATCAATTTTCCACATTTTTTTTCATCATGCTTGAAGATATTGACTTGATATTTGTTATATAGTTTACACCATGACAACTTATAGATCAAGTTAGCATTTTGTTCCAGTACAATGAATTGATTTTTAACCGGTATAGGACTATGTATTGCCAGGCAATACTCACAGAATGCTTGTTACTAATTATATTCAAGTATACAGAAAAACACAAATTTTCTTTTTGCTTGTATGGAGAATAAAATCACAAAATTAAGGTACCCACAAAAATACTAATTTTCATTAATCCATAAAATTTATCACCTATAAAATAATGAATGGAGAGTACAGAGATTCATGGATTATTGCCATAAATGATTGTTTGTTAAAGTAAAATCAATTCAATTGAAATATATATGGGTTTTTTTTCCAGAAATATAGGAAATAATTTGAATTTATTTGTTTTAAGAGTCCTTTCTTTATATTTTCAGGCTCATGGAGGAGCAGGAGTGTCGGGTGATTTTCCATTAGCCAGTGTTTTTGCGGGTGTAAGAACACTCCGATTGGCTGATGGCCCTGATGAGGTTCATCGTAGGTCTTTAGCCAGAATGGAATATTTTAAATTCAATCAAGCTAAACTGTGATCTGTTACTGACTGACAATTTTGCAACTTGCCACAAATTGCTGCAATATTGCAAATTATGTAATAAACTATTGTAATGTGGTTGTTTTCCAACGTAAAATAGAATTAGTGTTTCAGTTGTTTATTCAGGAGAAAAAAGTCATTTTGTAAAATCTCTGTAATATTTTATATTTCACTACACAATTTTGCTATAGCTGTAAATATAAGATGTATAACATCAGAAAGAATTAAGTCCAATAGTATAGGGTTATTGCATGAAAATTAGTGATTATTGTCCCGACTAGATTTTTATATTGCAAAAGCTTGTGAGTGCAATATATCTTGTAAGAGGTATAATATTCATCAATATCTTTGCAATTATTATTACAATACACATAAAATATAATTTTTACTTGTAATATTTATATCTTAGATTTTTGATCATTCATGTGATGGATGATATATATATTTCTCTTATTCTATGGAAATTTAACCCTTTCTGAACCCATTGTATAAAAAAAATTAATCAACGTGTGGTTGCTGGTGATCTCAGAAGATGATTGGATGAGTTTAAAATTGATAATTTAACTATCTCGATTGGATAAATCCGATAATCCACTGGTATCAATGTAAGAATCTATATATATATATATATTTATATATTATATAATATTCAAGAGTTATAAACTACTACAATGAAGCAAGCTTGTTTCTGAAATGAGCTGCTGAGAAGTTTTTTGTTGTTATTTTGTTTTACAGATATTTGTGTGTGCTATTTGATTAATTGTTATACAGTTTTAAAATTATGTCTTTATTCAGGGCGAAGTATGGAAAAATATGTTTTATAGAACTCTTTACACTTGCACGTATATAAGTTATAAATGTTGAGGATGTTACATGTATGAAGTCAGGTTTGAATAAAAAGAGATATTGGGAATGCATCGAGCCAGCAACCCAAAGATACAAAAATAAAATATCATCTAGAAATCAACATCTTGTCTTCAAAAATAGCCATGTACAAAATGTATGCCTTACTAAGCACTGTAAGGAAATAATTCTTTAAATTCACTTCAGTGAAGAAATATATATTTTTTTCACACATTGAAATGTAACCCATAAAGTGTAAAATATTCAAGATAGTTTATTTAGTTTTCTGAAAGGGTCAAAATGTTAACTAGAAAAATTGGAGTTGATTAGTGTATTTATACAGTAAGAAGCCAAAAAGACTTCTGATATAGTATTTTAGTGCAGATCATGTTGACATAATGAACATGTATTGTAAATGCTTATTGTTATATTTATACATTAATTTTATTGATTATATTTTTTGTAATAAAAATGATTTGATTTAAATGTCTGACTCCACTCATTTTTCTTATATTTAGTGTAAGACGTGTGATAAGGTGACATAAAGATGTTATTTAGGGTTTAAAGAGAAATCAGCCTTTTGTCCCCTGCCTTCAAAGGGTGAAGCACATACAGGGTGTCAGTCTGGCTTGAAAGTGCTTTCACACTTATAAAATCTTGCCACATTTATATGAAATTTTAATCCAAGGTTAAATTCAGCAATGTCCAACTATTGTTAAAGGAGTTATACCCCTTGGAAATATAAATTTTATTAAAAATTGTGTGTTTACCACTCATTTCCTATAGAATTTTTAATGAAATTAACATCATAGGTTTATGTCAGCATTTTTTTGGATGAGAAAAAAACCAGCTCTGATTAGTTATTCATACAGTCCTTTGGAAAAGTAAATTCAATGGAATATTGCATTGCATGCTCTCTCAAGCCTACATTTCTTGTCAGAATTTTTATAAAATTTGTATGAAAGGTTTATATCAGTAATGTCTGAGACAAATTCAAAAATCAGTGCTGATCAATTATTGTGATCGGATATATCAGCAAGGTCAAGGATGAGTATGATAATCAAGCACTGATTAACTATTTCTTCATAAGTTATGCCCCTTGGAAAAAAATGAAAAATTGCATTGTTAGTGATCTCACGCATATGCTGCTATTTTTTGTAGGATGTTTATAAAAAAAATTAAAAACTAAAAATAATATTTGTTTGATTTATTGTCCTTGGACATATAAAATACATGCATCAGTGAGGAACATTGAAATGCTGAGACCTGGTAAAATTACCAATGAGACATGTACATTTTCAGGCCTTTATTGCTTAATGTTGAGTAAAAAGAAAGGCTTCAACAACAAGGAATAAATAGCTCATTTGCAAAATACTTAAAAAGGATGACAGGAATTTTAAAAATATTAAACAGTACATCAACACATGATTCCTGTACATAGTCCAGAGGGATGGTTGTTAACATGATCAATGCTGAATCATTTCTGTAAAAATACATGAATTTTGTTAGTTTTTCAATGAGCTATTCATTCCCTGTTGTTGAAGGTTAAAAGTAATTATGAAGTAATAGTTGATTGCAGGATGCAGTGGTTGGGGTGAGGAGTAGAAGTTTCATGCTTATAAAGAAGGGTAACCCATCGAAAAAGTTGTTTTTGTTGATTTGACATTCAGACTGATGGGATGTTGGAAGTGACAGGTATTTTTTGTCCTATACAGAGTGGCACATGATGTAACCCAAAATAACTTATAGCAATCTGTGGTAAAATTTTGGTCAAAAAAGGCAAAATAAAAAATGATAATTTTAAGTTGGTCCTCAAACTTTAACATTTTATAGACCTCATCTACTCAGAACACTAAATGAGATGTCTTTCTTTGTTTGAAACCTTACTGGATGGCTCACTTTCTTTCCACATGCATCAGAAAATCTTCAGCCAAATGCATCAATAAAGCAATTTTCTGGCGGCCCCATATTTCCGACTTAAATAAAAGTAAATGTTAAGTATTTGAGTCTTATATAATGTCACTATAAAATTCCTTCACTTATTAAACTCTGCCAAAACCTGTACAGTAGTGTATTATGTAAATGATAATGAATTAGCTCTCTGAAACTATGAAACACTGCCAGCTGCTTAGTACTATATATATGGCACCTCAACCATCAAAAATTGACTCTGCATGATGGATCAATTCTTTGGAGAACAGCTAATATTTAATGTGTACACTTGTGTCAAGCAAATGTATGACATAGATCTGTTTGCATGACACATTTTCTGGAATAATTCTGACAGCTTCACTCAAAACAAAATGTTTGGAATGCAAACACAATATGAAATAATGAAATAGGACTTTCAACACTATTATAGTCAGCTTTCCTAGAAACAACCTATGTATTTGTACAGATGCATAATTTATACATTTGAAATTTACAAAATATTTTATTAATTTCAAGCTACTGTAAATTCAGAAATTACGTCAAGGTTTTTATTTATGAGAATAATACGACTGGGTGAGTATCGCAATAAAAATAATTTCATTTTTGTCCATTCTTGAAAAATTGCATTGATAAATGCACCCAATAATTTCTGAATTAACAGTATTATTTAATGATCAGCTACAAGTAAGATGGAACCCTTGGGACTGATAATCCACTAACAGCAGTACCTACCCAGTTGTAGTAAAAAAAACATTAGATACTTGTGCACACTATAGTCATGTTTCTGGAGACCACAGGTTTCTAAGTGTACAGAGATGTTTTGGTAAATAAGCAGTTTACTGTATAAAAACCTGACCACACTTTTTCATGTGGCATCTTTTCATCCTTCACTGATTTTAATACATGTAAATTAAGGTTATTTTTTTTTACTGGATACACTTTACTGTCTATCCTGTATTCTAAAATTATTTCCAAAATGTACACTAACATTCCTCAATGAAAAAGAAGCCTTCTGTAATAGGCTGTCCCAAGTTAGAAGCCTGTTATTCAGTGGTTGTTGTTGGTTGCTCCTTTGCCTGATTTGTTTTTCATTTGTTGTTTTTAGCATACAGTTTTCATATTGTGTCATGTGAAAGCTCTTCACAGCTTCTTCACTATACAGGTTAGATTCTGTTCATTATGATAAAGTGCCCTATCCTGTTCCTTTGGTCTTTTTTGATTGATTTGCTTCATTGGCAATCATACCTAATCTCCTTATATTATATACTTAATAGCTTCCTTAAATCTGTTCTCTCTGTTTTATAGGCAAAGAAATGTCCAACTGTCCAATCTGCAACATAGCTTTCAAATGTATTCTCTTTGTGCTTGGATTCATAAAAAGCCAACACAAGAGTGCACACACTGAAATGTCTCGTCATCTGTACTGACCATTGATTTTATGATGAAAGTCTTGAAGATTACGGTTTTACTTCAAGTATAACATTTTTAAATAACAATGGCAATTAGGTCAAGGTCAGATAAATCCTGTCAGACAGACATGTACAATTTACAATAATTCAAATACCAAATATAGTTGACCTAATGCTCATGGTAATTGAAAAAGACCAAAACACAAAAACTTGACATTAACAAGTGAACTATGAAATTGACATCAAGGTCAGATTATACCTGCCAGACAGACATGAAAACCTTACAATCATTCCATACACCACATAAAGTTGACCTACTGCTTATAGTGGTAATTGAAAAACAGACCAAAACACAAAATCTTAACACTGACCAATGAACCATGAAAATGAGGTCAAGGTTGGATGATATCTGCCAGACAGACATGAACACCTAGCAATCATTCCACACACCACATAAAGTTGACCAATTGCTTATATTATCTGAGAAAAGGACCTAATCATGGTACTTTAATCTTGATCACTGATCCATGAAATGAGGTCAAAGTCAGGTGAAATCTGTCTGACGTTGCAAGGAACCCATATACCAAATGTAATTATCATATTACTCAAAATAAGTGAGAAATTCACATGACAAAAAAATATAATTTTTTTTAAGCAGTTGCTGAAGCATGAAAATGAGATCAAGGACAATGGACATAAGACAGAAGGACACTTCATAACATAAGGTATCTGCATACAAGGTATGAAGCATCTAGGTCTTCTACTTTCTGAAATGTAAAGCTTTATACAAATAGTTTACGTCACCGCCATATAGTAATCCATGTCTATAGCATACTATGACTTTGGTCGCGAGCCAGACAAAATGACTTCAGGCTTCTTTAAACAAGTGCTCTTCAATAAATCTTGTCATTCATTCATAATTTTGTGACTCTCAGTCGTTTTCTAGTTGTGTTTTGTATACTGTTGTTTGTTTTTTTGTGTGTTTTTTTCTGAGGGTGGTAAAGGGTTATTTTCGTGCAACGTGTTTTGCCATTTTTATTTCACATGCAGCCGTGAAAAATTTTCATTCTTCACCGTGTTTCTTGAAATCGGTAAAAAGATGCAAGAAATTTGTAATTGTTCGTTCATCGTGAAATGGCAATTTTATTTCGCGTTCTTTCGTGCAGATACCCCCCCCTTTACACCCCTCTTTTCTGTTGTTGCCATGGCATTGTCAGTTCATTTTTGACTTGCGAGGTTGAATATTGCTTTGGTATCTTCTTTTATTAAATGATTACATTAACATTCACTTGAAGTATATAATGGACAAAATTTTTTCAACTTGTCTAGCCCAGCATAAAAATCTGTTAGCCATGGATCAGTGCATATCTTAATAGCCTAGGTTTGTACATGTATTTGTTGTCTGATCTGATTTTGTAAACAGCCTTCAAATCTTATATAAGTCTGGTCATAAAAACTTAACTGATATAAATAAAATAACTCAGTGCCCTGAATGAATATGTATTTTACAATTATATGAAGTCATAAATATACATAACAAATATACTTCATTTAAAAGAAAATTATTCTTAACAATTCATTGAATAAATTACAAATTAAATAATAAAAACTTATATTGTAGACAGATATTCAAGTGCAAATCTTAGTCTAACAAGTAAAGTCAGTTTAACATCCACAAAATTAAATGATCCTACACGACTGTAAAGTACCATTTCATGAATTATAATAATCATCCTGACATGAGCTAAATATTGTTTTAATGATCCTGTTATTCCAAAACTAATAAATAAAACCTTTCATTGAATTCCAGATATTGTCCTGGACGTTTTAGTTCTCTGTCAAAAACAGAAATTACTGTCACCTCTTATAAACCATAAGGACTTTTTTCAGTGGTAATGGGATTAACTTTTATTAAAAATGTTTCAGCCAAATCTTGATTATGTCTTCTGTAATTCACATGCATGAAATGACCTTTGACAGTAAATTGACACACTGATAAAGTATTCAGTATATGAATAATAAAACAGAGTTCCAATACCCCCACACTGCACATATTTTATCTGTCAAAGGGCAATAACTAAAAAAAAAAATCTTTTATAAATATCATAGAGAAATGAAAGCTTTAGAGTGCTACAGTGCAATTTTCCATGTTATTAATGTTTCCAAGGGGCATAACTCTTTTAAAACTAATTGGTCAGCACTGACTTTTGGAAATAATCCGAGACATTGCTAATATAAACCAATGATATAAGTTTCATAAAAATCTGGCAAGAATTGTACATGTGAGAGCACTAACAATGCATTTTTCCATATAACTAATATTTACAAGGGGCATAACTCTTTTTTAAAAAGTTGATTAGCACTGATTTCAGTATGTCCTGAAACATCACTGATATAAACCTTTGATATAAATTTGATAAAAATCTGGTAAATATTGTCAACATGAGAGTTCTTACAAAGCAATTTTCCATATAACTAATATTTACAAGGGGCATAACTCTTTTTTTTTAAAGTTGATAAGAAATGATTTTAGTATGTCCTGAAACATCACTGATATAAACCTTTGATATATATTTGATAAAAATCTGGTAAATATTGTCGACATGAGAGTGCTTACTAAGCAATTTTCCATATTATATTTCTTATAAAAATACTTGATCTACACTGATTTTCGAACTTGTCCGAGACATTGCTGATATGAACCTATGATACAAGTTTTATAAAACCTGGCAAAAATTGTACATGTAAGAGCACAAACAAGACCTGACGCCTGGTATTTCTATGTCCCCGCAACAAGTTGCATGTAGGACAACCACACATTTAAATAAGGCATGAATAAATCAATGATGTTGAGTTTATGATGATTAACATGACTGTTGTATGCTCCACAGTAGATCACTGTTCTTTCCTTGAAAAATTCACTGTTGAGTTTATGGTGTTTTACATGACTGTTGTATGCTCCACACTGGTACTTCATTTTTTCACATTTTATAAAATATAAACATGATTATTTCACTTTAGAAAATACCATTATATAAATAACACATAGCTGAGAGGGTGATAGAGCAGATTGCTTCCCCGGGAAAACATTGTCAACTAAGGCGAAGCCAAGGTTTACAATGTCTTTTCGAGGGGTAACAATCTGCTCTATCACCCTCTCATATATGTGTTATCTAATTTATTATACTGAATATTCTGTTATAACTGTCTATTAAATTTCAAATTCAAAGTAATAAACTATGTCGTCTTGTACATAACAATCATCCATATTTATTAAAGCGCACACTTGAGCAAGCGTCTCCGTGAAGGGTAATTTAGTATTTGCCATGGGATAGAGTAAATTGTCTCCCTCGTATTAACCAATCAAAATCTGACATTTTGACATGAAGTATAATAATATCAATTTGTTGCTATGTATGTAATTATACTTAATCATAACGAGTAAAACAACAAGTAAGTTTTTCTTGTCATGACCTACTTTTTGCTGAACATTTTTTTACATAATACAACAATGTAAATGAAAAGAAATTTGTTTGAACCCTGCAAAGAGAGGATTCAAGGAATAGTTATTTTTTGTAGATTGCTATAGTTACTATGGTAACCAAATAAGTCTTTGCTGTCATGGTTTAATAGCACTTGTATCCACCAATGAACAAACTATCCATGCCTAAAAATAAACATTATAAAATGTATTGTGCATTAGAAATCTATTTATGTTAATATAAATTTGCTTTTTTTTGGTTTTTATTACATTAGTAAAGTTCTTAAAATCTTATGACTGTTCTTCATCTAGAGATTTGCTGGAAGGTTTTTACTTTTAAACAATAACCATAAGTGATAACTGGTGGATAGTTGTTTCATTGGCAATCATACCACATCTTCGTGCTTTTATATAAAAAAATTTATATAAATTTAAATTAAGGAATGTATCTCCCTCATGCTTATAAGCTCCGATTCCTTGTCAACATTTGGCTTTACTTTGTTGTCCCTTTTTGGTGGTTTTATCAGCTCTTCTATACTGATTTAAAACTTTCTACATGTTCTTTCATCCCCTGCTGACCAAGAAGAATTAATAATCATATTTTATAGGTTCAGCTTTTATATTCTTCAAATCAAGCTTGGTAGGTAAAAAAGTGTTTTGGTAACAGCTCTTACCTGCTTATCTTCTACATCTCTAGAGTTAGCTCCCCTCTTTAAAACCTGTATCCCAATAACATCTTTTGTACATGTATGGCAAGACAAATATTGTAACACAGAACCAGTAGATTTATCTTCATAGCTGTCTAAGGTTAAGTCAGAACCTGAAAAACATAAACATCAAAATAACCTAGCTGAAAAATATTTCATTAGTTCTAAGTGTCCTATAACAAGTTATTCACATTGTTCAAAAGTTTTCGGTAATTAGTTGTCTCATTGGCAATCATACAACTCCTTATCTTTAAAGGACAATGAATAAATTGAAAGTTTTTTTCATTTAATTTTTACAGTAATAGAAAGTTAAATTCAAGCTTCATTGACCAGTCTTTTGTAGATGTAATGTGTGTCTGGCCTACAAAAGTTTAAACCTGGTATCAATGATGATAAAATCTAAAAAGAAAACAATCAATTCATCTTTGGAATATATATAAGACATAAAAACATTTTTAGAATGATCAATTCTTGTGACATACCTTTTTCTAATTTTGTAGAAACTGTCTGTAGATTGGTAGATTTGACATCCAATGTTGGTATAAAAATAACTTCAGCTGTTCTCTGTGTTGTCAGAACTCTTACAAACCCTGGATACCTTTTTCTCTTTTCAAAATCTACAAATGGGAAAAACAATTTCTTTATGTTTGTTGCTTATTTATTATGTTATGCATGTGTTTTATTTGATTGTGTGGTGTATTGTACTCTGTTTTATGTGCCTATGATAGTTATTTATTTTTAAATATCAAGTAGGTTAAAGAGCTTTACAGAACTCATGTTACTATGTTAAGGGCATACAATACAGTTACAGGGGAAGTAATAAGGTCGCTAACGTAAAACAATATTTAAGCGTCGTCAAACTGTGACATCGAGAAAAGATCCACTTTTAGAAAAATCTGTTGCGTTTATCTTTTAAAACAAAAATAGTTAGGTATGTCTTTCCAAACGATAGAAATGTCAAAAGAAACCGAAATGTTTAGTAAATGTCTAAAATATTTACCCCATTTATCTCTAAAAGTAGCACATGAAGGTATATTTTTTATTACATATTTGAATTGACTAGGTGGAAAATAGCTTGTATGCAAACTTTTGTCAAAAATTCACTGTGGAATCAAAACTGTATTGCATGCCCTTAAATTGTACATATTGTACTTTTTCATTCAATTTGTTAAAATCCTCTCAGTGCTAGATAATTTTTTCGTTTAAATATTATTATTACTACTAACTTGGCAGCTGTTCCAATAAAATTTTGTGTTTCAACAATTTATATATGCAACCCCTTTTTTAAATTTACTTAGTTCCCCCTCAGAGAATTTTGCCTAACAACAGATTATCTATGAAACCCTATGATATATAAAGATCACATAGAGTATTTCTTACAACAGGATGGAAATATTACACTATTTCTAAGCTACATGATATTGGTAACATAGATATAAGAAGATGTGATATGAATGCCAATGAGACAACTCTCCATCCAAGTAACAATTTATAAAAGTAAACCATTATAGGTCAAGGTACGGCCTTCAACACGGAGCATTGGCTCACACCGAACAGCAAGCTATAAAGGGCCCCAAAAATTACTAGTGTAAAACCATTCAAACGGGAAAACCAACGGTCTAATCTATATAAAAATAAGAAACGAGAAACACGTATGAACTACATAAACAGACGACAACTACTGTACATCAGATTCCTGACTTAGGACAGGTGCAAACATTTGCAGCGGGATTAAACGTTTTAATGGTACCAAGCCTTCTCCTTTTTTCTGAAACAATAGTACTAGTATAACATCGCAACATAGAAAGACACAACATGCCTTCATCTAATATGAACTGCTAATGATATACATATTGGTCAATTTACCTTCCAACTGAGATATAAGAGCCTCTCCACAACCTCTACACTTGATCACTTTTTCAATTGAATCTGACTTTTGATCTTCCAAATTGTCCAGAAAGTCAACTCCTTTCTGCTTTTTAGTAGACAATCTCAAATTAGAATGACTTTTTCTTTTAGCTCCTCTGTTTTTCCTTCTCGTATTCAAAATTTCCTCACTTTCATTTTCCTCATTTTCAATTGCCATATTTTCTTTTTTATTACTTTCTAATGTGGTATTTTGTTTAATCTCAGTCAATATTTTCTTGTCACATGACTTTCTCTTTACTTTTGATTGGTCTATAAAATCATCTGGAGAATCATTGTCAATTACTGTAGTCGTTCCTGCTGATTGTCTTCTAAAAATAGGCTTTTTATGAGTTTTTGATTCACTTTCATTTTTACATGCCTCACGACTTTGGTTTTGAGGTTTACTGCCAACAATGTTTACCTCATTGGTATCTACTGATCTATTAATAGGTTGTTGATTATTGATTTTGAATTCCTGTTCACTGTCCTGTGTATCAAACAGAGTTGGAGTTTGTGGACACTTTGTATTATTTTGGTCTTTGGACTTATCACCATCACCTGTTTCACTAATGTCTGATTCAGGGATCTGACAATACTTGAATAATTTATTCATTTTGATATTTTGTTGATCTGGCTGTGTGGTTAAAGTGGTTCCATGAGTAACAGGTTCATTTTTGCTGACTGAAACAGAAAATTAAAAGTTTTTGTTCTTTTTTACAAACAGAGCTGTAACAAGAGTTTACACAATAACAGGGATATAAAAGACAAGTAAATCTCACATCTATAAATCTAAACCAATTTTTAAGTTTTTTTTTTTAAATAACACAAGTAGTTTTTCAGCTGTGCATGAAATCAAAAAAAATACCTGACTGCTAGAACTTTTTCAAACATTATACATTCATTCTGTATCTCCTCATGTCATATGCTTTTAGGATATATATCATGTTTTATTGTTATCCTGAATGGCAAACTTTTTAATTGGTGAAGGCAATTGAAAGTCAAAATCAGCCACAATTACCGACCAAGTTTACTTTGGATTCATTAATATTTGTGTACATGCGATACTAATTTTCCTGAATTTCATGGATAAAGATAAACCACGAAATTTAGATGTTAAACGAAGTGCCAATTATCTATAGGATTGCATGCAGACATGAGCAAAACATGAAAAACAAATATCCATGAAAATCCAATTTTTCCTCAATCCACGATAATAAATGAATCCACAGTATCGTATCTCTATTTTTACACTGGCTATAAATGTTTTAGCGTAAACATTGGATAATTCAGCTAACTGTTGTAAAACCAATAACAACTTGTATAACCTTTTACTGAGATTTTCAACTATATGATTGTTATCGCTCAATTATCCGTGTTTCAAGGAGAAATGCATTGAGGAAGGATGTTTTTACACTATTAAATGTACAATTCAGTGTAAGTGACACTACTCTTTCTGTATATTTGTTAATTCTTTCAGAAAGGAACAATGTGCAAGTCTTTCAATGCAAGGAAACAAAACAACTATGAAAAGTCTATGTGTAAAATTTAAAATTTCTACAAGATATACATAGACTGTACCCTTGGCATAAAACAATGGATTTCTTTTCTGTCAAAAGTTGAAAACATAACACTTACTACTTGGTAAAACATCTGTGACTGTCTGACTTTCTTCAGCATTAGTTGATGTACTATGACCCACATTTAGTAAAGATACCATGCCTGGTTTTGATCCCTGTGACTGTAGATGAGTAGGGATGGATGACGTATGACTAGTAGTAGTATTACCAACAACAGGTTGTGTAGTAGCAGTAACTATAGGATCTGTTTTGATTATCGGAGCACCTGTACCCTGATTAGGTTGAATAAGAAACATTTGTTGTTTTGGTGTGTCTTCATCAACAATAATGTAATAGGGTTTATCCTTAGGTACTAAAGGAGAATTCATCACAGACAGGATGTATTGGTATGTAGATGATGTCAGGAAATGATTGTTCATTGTTTGACCTTGATCTTGCTGAACTTTCTGCTGATTATTTTGTAATAACAATTGCTGGCCTTGACCTTGCTGGACTTTTTGCTGATCATTTGGCAATAACAATTTCTGGCCTTGACCTCCGACAACATTCTGTTGCGGATTTTGTATTAACAGTTTTTGACCTGGTTGCACATGGCATTGACTTGCACCGACCATCTGCTGAGGGTTTTGTAGTAAAACCTGTTGACCAGGTTTTAATTGACCTTTGTTGATCATTTGCTGCAGTACCATTTGTATCTGTTGAGGATTCTGTAGTATTATCGGAGTTTGAATACCAGGTTGAGCTTGAATTATACCACTGCAATAATAGAGTAAATGATCTCAGAAAAGGAGATGTTTATTTGGCCTATTATTTGAAAATCATCATCTTGTGTTAACCTATTGTTTAAAATTCTTTCAGATTATTAGGATTTTAAATATTTGTAAGGATTATAAAAATTTCTTAGTGTATTTTGTTTTAAACACTACTTCTAAATGTATTAAGGAAAAATGCAAAATTTGCCAAAACTAACCAGTTCTGACACCTTTATAACATTAACATATGAGCATCAGTAAAAGTGAGCAGTATTTTACTACAAGTTTTTTTCTTAAATACATGTATGTTAAGGTGATTCTAAACTTGGGTAAGGTTGTTGCTCATATCATTTTACAATAAATGGAGAATATCTCCATGGGACACAAATGATGCCCCGGCTTGCATATAACGTTATAAAGGGACATAACTTAAGAATGGTAAACATGACGCCAACCAAATTTAAACTTGGTCTAAGTTTTGTGGTAATAAGCATTGTGTATAAGTTTCATAACATTTAGTTGAGGCAAACTTATGTTAGAGAACGGTAACGAAAAATTCAGCAATTTTTCCATTTGTAAAGGGGAATAACTCTAGAACAGTAAAAGTGATGCCACCCAAATTCGATCTGTGTTTTGTGGTAATAAGCATTGTGTATAAGTTTCATAACATTTGGATGAGGCAAACTAAAGTTAGAGAATGGAAACTAATTTAGGACGGACAGATATACAGATGGACAAGGGTAACACTTAATGCCCCCTCCACTGTGGCGGGGGGCATAAAAACCTATGCATAGAAGGGAAAATTTGGTCAAATAATTGCTTCTTCCTGTTGTTATATATGTACCCAGTAACAAACTGTAAAACATTCGAACCTAGTTTTAACTGCACTAGTAGTTTTCTGTTTTGTTTCATTCAGCGATGACTTTGTTCATTGAAATGAATATCAGAAACCAATGTACCATAAGTTAATCAATGTGTAGAATAAATTAATAGTAATAGATAAATTCAAACTTATCATAGTGGAAATCTGGCTACTTGAAGAATCATCCATGAATTAATAAATTCTCTTATTTGATTTTAATTGTTTCATACTTTCTTCCTTTCCCTCTATGAACAGCCATTTATAAATAAAAATGACTATTTATACGCACCCAGCTTTGGCAGCTGCAGTTAGTTCAGGATTTTTCTTAACTTCAGTAGGAGACATTAGTCTATGTTGTATCGTATTCAATATGGATGATGCTTCTGGAATAACTTTCTTTGATTCAGGAGTAGAAAATTCTGGCTGTGCTAATTTAGGTAAAACCCCTTTAGGTGTCTGTGCATCAATAGAGGTACCAGTTGAAACTTTCTTATCCTTGGTCAATGGGGTTATAGGTGAAAATATTGAATACAATGGTGTAGCTGGAGTGATGGGAGTAGCAATGTTTGAGGCTTCATTGAGACCAGATCTTCTACTGATTGGTTGTCCTGGTGTCATAGGTGTACTGGGTATAAATGATGTGTCTGGACTGAAATAGAAATTGATTGATTGATTGTTGGTTGCTTAACGTCCAGTGGCAAATAGAAAATAGAAATTGTAATGGTTATCAGATTGAAAGGTAGAAATTAAAATAATTTTGACATGTACAATTTAATATAGGAAAACAACTCCTGTAACTTGAAATGCAGATAAATAAAGGAATATGTCTATCTAGACTTTTCAATTCATAGTAAAATCCTTGTTGAGAGTTATCTAGTCATGTTATATGTATAAATACTAACTCCTGCCCTGTCTAAATTAGGAATTGATTTTTAATGAAGGTGCTTTATAAGTACTTTATTCTGCTATATTGCACTACAAGAATTTTTGCAACAACTCTTTATATATGGTATCAACAGATGCTACTCTATACAGCAAAAAATCTGACAAGAGTTATTGTCCTGTACTTAACAATTTATCATCATAATTAACATGAAAAAGTAATGCAACACTATATAAAATTAATGTGAACAGCAGCATAATAATCATGTTCACTGTTACCATGTATAACATACATTTTATAAAGCTCCCTGAGAATGACCACGATCTACAAACAATTATCTGTCATCAAATTCTTTTAAATTATATCATTAAGTATGAATATATATTTATATGTTTAATTCCAATAATTGTTGAAGTTTATAGTGGTATAAATTCAGTAACAAAGAACTCTGAAGTTTTTTTTTCTGATTCTTACTTGACAATTGGCATATCTTTCATCCTCTGTTTGGAAAAGCTAGATATAGATTCCATAGCTTGTTTACAACTAGTGAAAGTTTGTACTTTGTTTCTCAGCCATTTTGACAGGCCTGAAATATACATTCCTCCAAATATTTAGAATTTAAAGTTCACATTTTGATATATATATGTACTTATTCATAACTTTTCTAGAGGTGGGTACATTTAGAGCATAACATATTGTATAGATGTTCCGGACCATATGAGTATTTGGACCATACCCCTATGGTCATGATCATATATATGGTCAGACTATTTGAGTATATACTTGTTTGGTTATTAACCGGCTCGTCCATGAGTTTTTGGACCATATAGGTATTTTTCCAATATGCATGAGAAACATTAAGCAATGATCAAAGTATATTTATCCTACGTGTTTTTATCTTTTTTTTCGTCCCTTATCAAAACAGTTAACTTCTTGTTTGAAAGTTCATTTCTATATCTTGAAGTTATCTTCCCAGATCTAAGATTGTTATTCATCAGGACATATCGAAAATGACCATGTATAAATGTGTTTACTATAATCTAACTTGTTAATAAAATTCAATGGGTTATTCATCGTTACTTTTTTTTTGATACATGTAACCCTAATTACCATATGATTACACTATTTGAAATTTTATTTTTATAAACTCTTTTTGATGAAAACTCAAAGGGTTATCCTTATGAAATTAAATGTATTAAAGGTTTTAAATGTTTCATCATGTTAATTAACTGAATGAGTATATACGCATATGGTCCAAATACTCATAGGGTCTGGAACATAGACACTTTTCTACTGTTGAAGACTGAATGTTGACCTTTATACATTTTTTGGTGTATTGCATCTTGGTTGCTGTTTCATTGATGCACACATCACATCTCCTTTTATTAACATGTTTTTGTAAGCACATGAGTTCAATCCTTCCAAAGCAAACCAAAAAGATTCAATTTAATAAATTTAACATCAAATATTTAGAAAAAATAGAGCACATTATGTATATGGGGCAAGTAGTAACTTATATCAAGTAAATTTTTTGGGGACTTCACATTTATATTGTGTGTCATCAGATGAATCTAAAAAAACATAGATAATTTCATATTATCACAATTTTACATTTCTTAAATTTTTTCACATTGCTTTTCTTTCTTTAGACAGGCTGACAAACCTTTGCAGTATTTATCTTTCTGTTTAACAAATCTTTCATCTGCTAATATTAAGAGGCCCCAGTCTTTCCTGAAGAAAAATAGTGACGTATAGTTGTGAGAATAAGTGATAAACTCATTGAAGCATTATTGAAAGGGTATCCTTGTATTCAGCTTGTAGATAAAATGCATGTATTCTTATAATTAGGTATATCACATATCAATAATCTAAATACATCTTCATAAACACACCCAATCAAAATTATAATATTTCAAAACTGGAGAAAAAGTGATGATTGATTGAAAAATATGTTCTGCAAACAATCTAAATGTCTGAATATTTACTTGTTTACACTATATGAATCACTCTACACAAGTACTTAATCAAAGGGCTGTTCCAGAAACACTTCTGTCCCGAATAAGGGAGAGGATTTAGCACTCACAAACACACCCAACCACATTCTTTTTCTTTTCTGTCCATTCAGGAGACTGTAATTCAGTGGTCTGTCATAGCAGTTTTATGTTTATTGTTTTAGCATAAATCAGGCCAATGTTTTTTGGGGGTTCTGGATTGCTTTACATTTGTCAAATTGGGAACTTTTATAGCTTACTATAGAGTATGGATTTTGTTCATTGTTTAAGGCCATACAGTGATTTGCAGTAACCTGAAATGGACAAAGTCTGATTACTCCCATAAAAATTAAAAGTGGTTAAGAAATCATTATAGCAGTATAGAATTACCAACTTTTCATGATGATAAACAACTTCGTCATTTGGTCTCTCATGCAGAGTTGTCTCATTGGCTAACAAACCACATCTTCGTATATTTATATCAACAAAGAATCCAAGTCATCAAATCTAATAAGTTTATAAGTATACCTATGCCTTATACATCTTCCTAAAGCTTGATTGAGAGCTCTGAAGGCCTGGATTTCATACCATTCACTACCAGAGAGCAATCCTTTGGACATTCTATGTTTGTCATTATACATTCTTTTCTGCCCAACCTAAAAAAAAAATAATTCTCTGGATCTAAAACACGTTTGATGTGAGAAAAGAAATTTTATGCAAGAAATTGACCAAAATTTGAATGGAGTAAATGTCTTAAATATATTTCTAATATTTCGTAAAATTTATGACTTGATTAACTACATGAAATATGTTAAAAAGGGGGTCCTCTAATATAACCTCCCAACAAATAACAAGCTGAAATTGCACTTGAGGTAATTCAGCCTAACCCAATAATCTCACATGTGCATAGCCTTGCCAAAAGCTTATAACATCAAAATGTTAAAATACCTGAATGTCCTTCCAATTAGGGTATGGTATGCCAACCTATAAAAAAAAAGAAATAAATATAGATTTATTAAATTCAAGACATACATTTTTGTTTGAAATCAAGGTTACAAATATTCCAGAACTGTCTGGCAATTTAGCGTTCACATTTTCAACTTTCATATTAACCTTTTATATTTCCAATGTTTTAAATGAATTTGGTATTTGAAACTTTTGTTTCTGTATCTTATCTGTCAACGAAGCTTTGATACAACTGTCATGACATTACCTCAGTAAATATGATTGTTTATCAAGAAATGATATTTTTGATATATTCAATATAGGTTTGATAAAAGCAGGTTTATGTTTCACAAGTAAAGGCTAGTTCCTGAGAAGCTTAACCATCCTGAAGGCTTTTACAAATAACTAAGACTTTTATTTACCATTTTTCTATAGAAACTGGCTCCATAGCCAGTCAAGGTTGTTAAACAACCCTGTAGTAGTCAAGAAAAGATGTACAGAAATTTACTACTTGGCCATAACATACAATTTTCATTAACTTACTGTTATAACAGCTCTAGCAAAATTATCAGCAAAGTCTAGACCCTCACTGACTTTACCTCTACATACAGCCAGGAACAAGGCACCAGTTGTTTCCTCACCAACATCTATAATGTAATTTTGAGTTTCTTGCTAGAAGATATCAATAGTAGATACCAATAGTAGATACCAATAGATACCAATAGTAGATACCAATAGTAGATATCAATAGCAGATACCAATAGTAGATATCAATAGTAGATACCAATAGTAGATATCAATAGTAGATACCAATAGTAGATATCAATAGTATATATCAATAGTAGATATCAATCAGTTGATGCAAAATATCTGAATCATAAAACTTTTTTTCCAGACCCCATAAAATTTACAAAATTTGGCTGTAATGTTCTTTAAAGCAAAAACAACCAACAGTCCAAATTCCAAACACAAAACATTTGACAATATGTAATAAATTAACCAATTTGGTTAAATATATTGGTTATCAAAGCATAACCTTTTGTGTTAAAATTAAAAAAATATGCAAATATATCTAATGAAGTGTAATGCAGGAGTCTTCTATTGAAAGTGAAGTTATTTTGAAGCTATTAACTGTTATTTTTTTCTTTTATATAATTCACAGCAATAATGACAGTCTACAAATTTTTAAGAGACTGACAAATCACCAACTAGAAAAGTAATGTTTTTTTCATTTACAAACCTTCATCATCTTCATCATTAACACCATGTATCGTATCATAAAACTGATTTAACAAGTCATCAAAATCCACCTGATCTGATCGTCTAGGTTCCTGAATTATCTTCTTCTTCTTTGCTATCTGTTCATATATACCTGCATTCTATAAAACAAGGATACAGTATAACTTCTTCATTTTAAACACTTTCTCTACGAATCATAAAAGTAAACTTTAGTTTTTCAATAAGGCCATATAAAATTTGTCAACCACATCACTTTTAACTGTGTGATTTATTAAACTGAAAAATCTTGCTATAAGTATTCAAGTAGAAGGTATCATTTTACAGAACTATGTATGTTTTTTCAAAATACTTCTAACTTCCTAATAAAGGAGTCAATAACCTACCTGCTGAATTGTCTGTACATCAAAGTTAATCTCAATGCTAATTTGACTCTTTTAAAAGAAAGAAATTCTAAAATATTGATCAAGAGCAAAATATGACTCATACATTAATCCTTCACTTTCATTTAACATTAAATAAATGCACATGTACTAAAATTGACACAGCATTTTTAATACCTTCCATCTTTCTATGAACTTTTCCAGTGATCTGTAGGATGGTAAAAAACATAAGACACCATGTGGTACTTCCTGTAAAACATTCATTAACAATATTTTTTATATATACTCTTCATCATGCATGGATTCAATGCCATATTTTATAAGGTGGATGTGGTATAATGGGTTAGATTCCAGAGGCTTATGCAGACAGCTTTCCTTTGATGCTCCACGACAAAACTTAAAAAGCGTCCCATGAGGGCTATAAGAGAATCCCAGAGTCATGTGAGTGTATAAATAATGTTTATAAGTTATACATACACAGCACATGAGATAAAAAAGATTCAGGTGTAAACTTTAAAGTGAAAATTACAGTCAACTGATCTTATCAATCACGAAACATCTATTGCATAATTCGGTGATTTCCATAATTTTCGCCTGAACAAAACCTATTTGTCTGTAGTTAAAAATATAGGTAATCCATAAAGGCTGACAAATTGCCCTTCAATTTATTACATAGAAAAATATTGACATCTAGAAATGTTAAATTACAATCTAGATATTTTACCAGAAATATCAATAAGGCAGTGATCTGGAAGGATTTTTTCTCTATGGGCCCAGGGCCCCCCAAAAATAAATTCAATGGGCCATTTTTAGAATTAATGGGCCATGTTGTCAAATGAGTGGGCCATTCGTTATATATATATAAAAAAAATAAAAAAAGTGTAAATTTCACTGTACTTACAAGTATGATTCTAATTAATATCATGGATATTGTTCCTGTGATTTTGTAATTTCAATTTCAATGAATATACAATAACTTCTTCCAAACCGGGCAATATTTACGATAACATTTATTTACAATGTTAAAACTGGTACTGTTCCCTTGTTCATGTTCATGTTTTTTTTTACATTAAATTTGGGTCTTCGTCGATACCATACTTATTCCAGACGTTCCGTATTAGAGGACGTTTCTGGCATTTCCTCTGCACTTGTATTATTATTACTTCATCACGATGACAAGAATAACAGTAGAGAGCAACGTTAATTGATAAGACACAACAACAATTCGCTGAAGGCATGTTTACAAAATGTCAAAACGAGCCAAAGACCAAAAAAATTGACAAGGACAGATAAGCCCCTTTTATGGAGACAAATACTTTACTATTCATAAAAAGGCTTTTGGGTTTTTCAATCGAAATAATAGCAAGCTTACTTAAAAGATTATAATTAGAGAAGAATTCTCGCCTGTACTAGCCAATTTTCACAAATTTAAAGTTGTTTATAAAAAATTATATCATGAACGATGGTTAATTACGTTTTTTGGGTAATCAGTCATACCGCATGTTGCTATTATTACCATAGGAAAACACCCGAGACGTCCCAAAAATATATAGGTGCTCCTATCATTGGAGTAAACACTACACAGTTGTTTACTCACACATGGCGGCACGAAATACGATAGGAAATCCATTTGACGATATCTCAATGTTTCAAAACGAAGTGAAAAATATCATGCGCCTCGCGGGCGCTTACATTTGTCACTTTATGCGCCATTTCTGGTCGATAAGCGCAATTGGCGCAAGGCGCACATCCTTCCCGATCACTGAATAAGGTAAGAATATTATTGTAAATAGTTTCAAATCATCATTCTTGCATGCATTCTTGTTTTTTGTTTTTGATTTATATTTCATTTAGCATTGTTTAAAGTTAAATTTAAAGCAGTTTCTTTCCTCTTTATGTATATGACGACATGTTGATCTATAGGAATGCTTTTTCTGAATGGCATAAAAGCACAACAATGATTAACCAAATGAGAAAAGGCCTCTAGACATCCCAACATATACAAACCTGACAGACTTGCAGAACTGTTTTACCAAGTTCATCCTGGAATTCAAGTGTTTCCATAGTCTTATACACAGCATGTAAAGGCTTTCCTGTGGGTCCCTGGCTCATAGCACCTACCCACACCTGTTAACACAGAAAATAATATAGTTAACAGCAAGCGTTTCCATAGTCTTATACACAGCATGTAAAGGCTTTCCTGTGGGTCCCTGACTCATAGCACCCCCCACACCTGTTAACACAGAAAATAATATAGTTAACAGCATTTAAAGGCTTTCCTGTAGGTACTTGACTCATAGCACCTACCCACACCTGTTAACACAGAAAATAATATAGTTAACAGCATGTAAAGGCTTTCCTGTGGGTCCCTGACTCATAGCACCCACCCACACCTGTTAACACAGAAACTAATAAAAAAAAAATATAGTTAACAGCATTTAAAGGCTTTCCTGTGGGTCCTTGACTCATAGCACCCACCCACACCTGTTAACACAGAAAATAATATAGTTAACAGCATTTAAAGGCTTTCCTGTAGGTCCTTGACTCATAGCACCCACCCACACCTGTTAACACAGAAAATAATATAGTTAATAGCATTTAAAGGCTTTCCTGTGGGTCCCTGACTCATAGCACCTACCCACATCTGTTAACACAGAAAATAATATAGTTAATAGCATTTAAAGGCTTTCCTGTGGGTCCTTGACTCATAGCACCTACCCACACCTGTTAACACAGAAAATAATATAGTTAACAGCATTTAAAGGCTTTCCTGTAGGTCCTTGACTCATAGCACCTACCCACACCTGTTAACACAGAAAATAATATAGTTAACAGCATTTAAAGGCTTTCCTGTAGGTCCTTGGCTCATAGCACCTACCCACACCTGTTAACACAGAAAATAATATAGTTAACAGCATTTAAAGGCTTTCCTGTAGGTCATAGCACCCACCCATACCCACAATAATAGTTTATACATCATAGCTCAACTTACAAATGCCAATATCAATACATACTCATTTAAAAAATATGTTTAAAATAACAAAACATTACAGACTTAGATATAAATGCTGTATCACATTACTTTATAATCTTTGCAAATAAGCATATCATTAGAAAAAAATCTGCACATTAGCTGACCATTATTTTTAATAATCAAGTTAAACTAGACAAGCTAGAGGACTTGTACTTTCTACGACAAACAGCTTTCAAAATAACTCCCCATCTTTCACTTCATGGCTTTCATAACATCTACAAAGCTATTAAATCTGATATCCCTCATGCTTGATATTTTTAAGCCATGAGATAACATGATTATATAAGATTATTTCAGACAAGGTTTTGTAATTTTAAGGATGTAGTTAGGTGAAATTAAAAAAAATGTAGAACTTAAAATTGATACTTTTAGTCAAAAGAGCATAAGTTAAAGAACAAAACAAGCTAAAATTATTGATAGGTATGGAATTGCTTTTTGAGATATTTGTTGGCAGGAAAAGGATTACTTGGATTATTACCTTATAATTAGCATTGGCATTATATGGGTGTCTGATCATAGGAAAACAAGAATGTGTCCATAGTACATGGATGCCCAACTCGCACTCGCACTATCATTTTCTATGTTCAGTGGACCATGAAATTGGGGTCAAAACTCTAATTTGGCATTAAAATTAGAAAGATCATATCATAGGGAACATGTGTACTAAGTTTCAAGTTGATTGGACTTCAACTTCATCAAAAACTACCTTGACCAAAAACTTTAATCTGAAGCGGGATAGACGGACGAATGGACGCACAGACCGAAAAACATAATGCTCCTTGGTGGAGCATAAAAAATCTAAAATCTGCTTAAATTTTGGTAATGACCCTTTTATGAGCTATTGAAGTCTTAAGCTTCTATGAAAAGAAATAGATATGGGGCAAAATATTTTACCCTGTATCGCAGGAAAAAACCAAGAAGTCTAAACATCCGACAAAAATTCCTAAACCTGACATGACTACATCCTTAACATCCTTACTTGCATTATATGAATTTACTAAAATAAACACAGAAAACGAAATAACAACTGCTTAGCTTTCTATAAAATAAGTTTTAATGCCAAGGATACAAATATATCTATAAAATAAGTTTTAATGCCAAGGATACAAATATATCTATAAAATAAGTTTTAATGCCAAGGATACACATATATCTATAAAATAAGTTTTAATGCCAAGGATACAAATATATCTATAAAATAAGTTTTAATGCCAAGGATACAAATATATAAACTGACCTGTTTATCCTCTATAACATGGTTGGCCTCTAACTTGATGGGGAACGGTGTATCTAACTCAGACTCAAATGAATTCATTGGAGATAATGTCCCACTAGTTAACACTATAGATCTAGTGTCATGTAAATCTGAAAATGCCTACAAAATACACAACAAAACATGTTAACACTCAGGTATTTAATTTGCTAACTTTATTCATCTAGTGTCATGTAAACATGTTAACTCTGTAGTATTTAATTTGCTAACACTATTCATCTAGTGTCATGTAAACATGTTAACTCTGTAGTATTTAATTTGCTAACACTATTCATCTAGTGTCATGTAAACATGTTAACACTGGAGTATTTAATTTGCTAACACTATTCATCTAGTGTCATGCAAACATGTTAACACTGGAGTATTTAATTTGCTAACACTATTCATCTAGTGTCATGTAAACATATTAACACTGGAGTATTTAATTTGCTAACACTATTCATCTAGTGTCATGCAAACATGTTAACACTGGAGTATTTAATTTGCTAACACTATTCATCTAGTGTCATGTAAACATGTTAACACTGGAGTATTTAATTTGCTAACACTATTCATCTAGTGTCATGCAAACATGTTAACACTGGAGTATTTAATTTGCTAACACTATTCATCTAGTGTCATGTAAAGATGTTAACACTGCAGTATTTAATTTGCTAACACTATTCATGTAGTGTCATGTATCATATACAGGTAAATCTGAAAATGCCTACAAAATACCAAGCAAAACATGTTAACACTGGAGAATTTTATTTTGTTAACATTATTGTTGCAAAAACCCAATTTTGTTTGATAAGATTGCGAGAAGGGAAATTTAGAGATAACTGTATTGTATTTGAAGCTTTGCGGACGTCCATCGGTAGTTTTACTGTCGCAAATTTAGTTAACCTGGCGACGCGTAGCGGAGACAGGTAAACGGGTGTTTGCGACAGTAAAACTACCGATGGACGTCCGCAAAGCTTCAAATACAATACAGTTATCTCTATTCTAATGCAAAATAAACAAATCATTCAATTTTAGTCATTATTTCTGTGTAAAATTTTCATTAAACGAAAATTCCGCGAAATGATGTTATCTTCTTTGGCGCCTAAACTAGGTGACGTCATTGGTGTGCTTCCGGCATCAAACATAAACACCGGGCGTTTTCTGGGTTCATGTCCGCTTCAAAATGTAATAAAATTTGATGAAAAGAAGATTTGTAGGTCCAAATGTGAGTTTTTTTGCTTATTATTGGAGAAATTACATGTCAATATATTCCGGAATTCAAAATGTCGGCTTCCTTAGTTACAGACAGGGAGATTGAGAATTTTACGCTTGTCGTCATCCAATCAGAGCCATTGATACAAACTAATTGCATTAGAATGGTAATTTTTATGTTTATTACTAGTAACATGTCTTGGAGAGACATGTGTGTGGGAACATGATGTTATCCCTTTGTGTCCTTTGTTAATAAAGTCAGATGTCATACCAAGGCAGGATTTTTTAACCAAATTTTTTTTCTTTATTGTTATTTAGAGATTTCAAATGCCTGCAGTTTTTATCCCTAATTTTTCACTATGAAATATAAAACCATGGGAGTTGAGTTCATTTGAAATTAAATGAGAAAATGTTTAAAGTACTCACCACTCCCGGATTCATACACCAGAAATGTAAAGTGATGACATATTTTGGAACTGGTCTCCTACCTAGAAACCAGTGAAATTTGTTCAATTAATTGTAAGCTTCTGGTTTGTACAGTTTGACTAAAAGGAAATATGGGATATATATCAATACAACAGCATCCCAACAACACAACTGCATATCTGGAGGTCAAAATACTGGTCTAAATCATATCAAATCATCTATATTATATAATATATAAATCATAGAATGAAGGTAAACTTTGGTAATCTGATCTACTTTTCAAGTTTTATAGACTGATTCAAGTTTAATAAAGAAGATCACTTTAGTGAGAGCATCAGCATCCAAGAAAAAATAGAATAATTTTATGCTAAGGCCAAAAAGAAAATATGGATTTCTGACTCCCAATCAACCCTTTGTTTGATAACATACCCTGAATTTTTATTTTGCATTTCAAAAAAATAATTCAAGAAAGAGTTCTGTGTTGTATGTGACTAAGAATCCTTTTTCTGCTTGATTTTTTAGTAAAACTTGTAATAAGATTGACCAAAATTGAGTGAACAAGAATGTGTCCATAGTACACGGATGCCCCACTCACACTATCATTTTCTATGTTTAGTGGACCTTGAAATTGGGGTCAAAACTCTAATTTGGCATTAAAATTAGAAAGATCATACCATAGGGAACATGTGTACTAAGTTTCAAGATGATTGGACTACAACTTCATCAAAAACTACCTTGACCAAAAACTTTAACCTGAACCGGGACAGATGGACGAACAGACGCACAGACCAAAAAACATAATGCCCATAAATGGGGCATAATAAATGGGACATAAAAATTTGTCAGAACATTGGAGTGAACAAGTATACCATAGTGCATGCAGGATTTACTGGAAGTCGTGTAAATAAGTATCTGACTTGGAGAATGAACATTTAATTTTCAAGTATATTCAGGACAAGAACAAGTTTACATCAAACCAACAAGTTGATCGACAGGGATTAAGGGCAAAAAATTTGGGCTGCCACTGGTTATATATATACATCCTACAGAGCCAAATGAAACCCCCCTTTAAGAAGTGTTTTTCTGTTAGACAGAAAGAGTTCAGAGATGACAATACTTCTATACCCCAGTCAAACCTTTAGGTTCACAACAAAATACATTCTTTTATAAATCTTTGCATAAAGGACTTCTCCGCAAATTATGAAAATTGATATATACACAACAAGAATGTGTCCATAGTATGCGGATGCCCCACTCGCACTATCATTTTCTATGTTCAGTGGACCATGAAATTGGGGTCAAAACTCTAATTTGGCATTAAAATTAAAACGATCATATCATAGGGAACATGTGTACTAAGTTTCTAGTTGATTGGACTTCAACTTCATCAAAAACTACCTTGACCAAAAACTTTAACCTGAAGCGGGACAAACGGACAGACGAACGAATGTGGGGCATAAAAATATAAGAGTACTTCTACAATAAACATCTAATGTAATGAAAGTCAATATCTTGTATAATTAGTATAGTTTGATTTTCTCAAACAAGGTCAAACATTCTTCAAGTATCTTCACTACGAAGGTTTAATCAACCCTTTTTGTACAATGTCGTAACAACTGGTTTTCTTAGACAGGATACTTCAACCATGTCAGAAGCTTGCTTTCAAGAATAAGTGTTTAGTCATTAAAAATTACCTCCTCGTCTGTTTCTTGAACTAATCCATGATCCATCCTGAGAAAAATTATTACAAATCAATAAACTACTGACTGTTTATATAGATCTTTTTGTATTAATGCACTGATTTTCTATGAATCTATTTTTGCCATGCTTATCATTAACTGTAAGTGTTTGAAATTGAAAAAAAAAAAAACAGTTTTAATACTTCCTATAAAGTCAACAGATCACAATTTATTTGTGCCAGTCTATATTCAATATTTCTGTCCATAGATTTTCTTTCTTAATTATAGATAGTTTAAACTGTTTGTTTAAATCAAAACATGTTTTAGAATACCTGTAATGTTTATAATGGTTATCCATTGAATGAAAGTTGTCGCATTGCAGGTATAATTCTCTGAATTAAACAGGTATTCTATGTATTGTATGATTTTGGCTCATGTTTCTTGTGCTTGCTGTTTCATATAAATTAAATGTAATTTATAATGTTATTTTTCTAAGTTCTGCCTTACGCTGAGTAGCATACTGCCTAACTTGTATTAAGTCCCCTCACCCCCAATCCACCCCACCCACCATCACCTAGACAGTCTTTTTTTCTTATGAGTACCGTAATGGTTATCTTGTTTTGTAGATTGATGTATATTTGTATGTTTGTGATTGAGCCTTATCTGTATGATTGTTTGATACCTTAGGCCAAAGAAAATAAAACATGTGTTTCCGCTAACGTGCTGAAAAAAATAGGGTAGGTAGGTAGGCAATATCATTTTACTTTACATTTTTTAGCTGGTTACTACTAAGGAATCAGTCTGACTTGAACAGTGCTTGTTCCAAAATGGCATAAAAAGTGTTAGGGTAGGCACTAAAAATTAGGGTACGAAGGGTTAGCGGAAACACATGTATTATTTTTTGGCCTTAGTAACGACTGAGAATGAGCCATAGTGAGTTTGAAATTAAAAATGAACTGTTTTTGAGTTATATTATACATTGGATATAAATAAAAGTATGCTTCTCTCACATGGAGAGCTCATTTCTGATTCATGTGTTGAGTTTTATTGTATAAATAATTTATCGTCTTTTAAGTCTGGCGAACTAGAACATAACCTAAATTTTCTTTTGACATGGATAGGATTCGAAACAGTTAACCTGAAGATATAGAACACTTACTGTATTATTGTCAGAAACATAGGTTGTAGATTTCAATATAGCAACTCTGGAAAGATAATGAAATTCTTATAGACAAAAATTAAATGTGTTGCATATGTTTTTCAGAAAAATTTGCCATTTCATTTAATATCATTTATCACTGAATCATTCATAAACAAATTACACGTATAGAAATCTACTCAAAACATGCATAACATACTTTTGCCACTGAATGGTATAAAGCAAACAAAACACATTAAAATCTCTATCATCTAGACACAAATTAACATTGATTTGTACCAAGAAATAACCCTTCAACAAGTAACTTGTGTTTGATAATGGCATAAATTCAATGGTATATGTTTGTGGTAAGTTATCAGTTTATAAATCTAATAAATATTCATATTAATTAAAGAACCATTGTGAGCACGCTCACATACCCCACGCCCCTACATTGACACTGACCAAACAAAATCTCACGAGATGCATAAGTGACACAGACTCATAACTCCTACAAAAGTCAATTGATAAAAATTTCTTGTGGATATGCACATTTACATATTATGTCTACAAAGTTTCATGAAATTCTGTGGTGTGGTTTCAGAGGAGTAGCGATGACAAGAACAGGACTGACGGACTGTAGTATATTGAGGCCAATAAGTTGAAAGGGGCATACCTCCTAGAAAAACTAGAGGCTCTAAAGAGCCTGTGTCGCTCACCTTGGTCTTTGTGCATATTAAACAAAGGACACAGATTGATTCATGACAAAATTGTGTTTTGGTGATGGTGATGTGTTTGTAGATCTTACTTTACTGAACATTCTTGCTTCTTACTATTATCTCTATCTATAATGAACTTGGCCCGGTAGATACAGTGGAAAATACTTTGTAAAAATTTACAAAAATTTACAAAATTTATGAAAATTGTAAAAAATTGACTATAAAGGGCAATAACTCCTTAAGGGGTCAATTGACAATTTTGGTCATGTTGCCTTATTTGTAGATCTAACTTTGCTGTACATTATTGCTGTTTACAGTTTATCTCTATCTATAATAATATTCAAGATAATAACCAAAAGCTGCAAAATTTTCTTAAAATTACTAATTCAGGGGCAGCAACCCAACAATGTGTTGCCTGATTGGTCTGAAAATTTCAGGGCAGATAGATCTTGACCTAATGAACAATTTTACCCCCATGTCAGATTTGCTCTAAATGCTTTGGTTTCAGAGATATGAGCCAAAAACTGCATTTTACCCTATGTACTATTTTTTAGCCATGTCGGCCATCTTGGTTCGCGGGCGGGGTCATCGGACACATTTTTTAAACTAGATACCCTAATGATGATTGTGGACAAGTTTTGTTAAATTTGTCTGAGTAGTTTCAGAGGAGAAGATTTTTGTAAAAAATTTAAAAAATTTACGAAAAATGGTTAAAAATTGACTATAAAGGGCAATAACTCCTTAAGGGGTCAACTGACAATTTTGGTCAAGTTGACTTATTTGTAGATCTTACTTTGCTGAACATTATTGCAGTTTATCTCTATCTATAATAATATTTAAGATAATAACCAAAAACGGCAAAATTTCCTTAAAATTACCAATTCAGAGGCAGCAACCCAACAACGGGTTGCCTGATTGGTAAGAAAATTTCAGGGCAGATAGATCTTGACCTAATGAACAATTTTATAATCATCAGATTTGCTCTAAATGCTTTGGTTTCAGAGATATGAGTCAAAAACTGCATTTTACCCTATGTACTATTTTTTAGCCATGTCGGCCATCTTGGTTCACGGGCGGGGTCATCGGACACATTTTTTAAACAAGATACCCTAATGATGATTGTGGACAAGTTTGGTTAAATTTGTCTCAGTAGTTTCAGAGGAGAAGATTTTTGTAAAAGATTACAAAAATTTACGAAAAATGGTTAAAAATTGACTATAAAGGGCAATAACTCCTTAAGGGGTCAACTGACCATTTTGGTCAAGTTGACTTATTTGTAGATCTTACTTTACTGAACATTATTGCTGTTTACAGTTTATCTCTATCTATAATAATATTCAAGATGATAACCAAAAACGGCAAAATTTCCTTAAAATTACCAATTCAGGGGCAGCAACCCAACAACAGGTTGTCCGATTCATCTGAAAATTTCAGGGCAGATAGATCTTGACCTAATAAACAATTTAACCCCCGTGTCAGATTTGCTCTAAATGCTTTGGTTTCAGAGATATAAGCCAAAATCTACATTTTACCCCTATGTTCTATTTTTAGCCATGGCGGCCATCTTGGTTGGTTGGCCGGGTCACCGGACACATTTTTTAAACTAGATACCCCAATGATGATTGTGGCCAAGTTTGGTCAAATTTGGCCCAGTAGTTTCAGAGGAGAAGATTTTTGTAAAAGTTTACGGACGACGGACGCAAAGTGATGAGAAAAGCTCACTTGACCTTTCAGGTCAGGTGAGCTAAAAATTGAATCATAATTTCCTGTCGATATGCACATCTACATAGTATGTCCTTATTATCTACAAAGTTTCATGAAATTCTGTTGTGTAGTTTCAAAGGACTTGCGATGACAAACTGTTGCAGTAGTATATTGAGGCTAATAAGTGCAAAGGGGCATAACTCCTAGAAAAAAATTGAATCATAATTTCCTGTCGATATGTACATCTACATAGTATGTCCTTATTATCTATAAAGTTTCATGAAATTCTGTCGTGTGGTTTCAGAGGAGTTGCAATGACAAGAACAGGACGGACGGACGGACAGACAGACTGGTCAAAAACATTATACCCGACGCAATTAACTGTGTGGGGTATAATAAAAACTTTTAATGAATGGTTACAAAGTTTTTTTTGTTAATTGTCTAACAGTTCTTAAATATGTGATAATATTGTAACTTTATAAAATATTGTTCTGCAGAGAGCTTAAACATACAAAGATTACTAAAAGTTCATGGAGCCATACCTATAATCCTCCAAATATTTCAGATCTTTTCTGTACATGAAATCCATGATGTTAAACATTCGTTCCAGTGTACTTCCTGAAGCAGAACTAAGTTTGACTGTCTGTCCACGAATATTCTGGACTGATCTCTCATTTGCATCTTCACAAACTGCAGAAAAGCATTTCTAAAACAAATGAAAATAATCTAAATAAACTAGAGCTTGAATCACTCACCTGGTAAAACTACTCCTGAAAAAAATAGCTGGAGAGAGTAATAACTTCAGAGGAAACTAGAGGTTTATTTAGGTCACAAAATGATACTCCTTTGACTTTGTACTGTGGGTTCATTATTTTTCATTAACTACCATTTTTTATGGACAATCAATTTAAGTGTTCAACAAAGTACACATGTTCTGTAGGCTTGCAGACAGACCACGGCAAAATCACAAAATCAACAACTTTTCCTCAATCAACAAAAATTGGTATAAACAAACATAAATGAATCCACATTTATAATTGTAGATGGTTTAATCTCCTTGAACATGTGATAGAAGATCCTTCAAATTTTAACCAATATTCCAAATTCAGGCTTGTGCAGTCCGCGGTTTTATTCTGTACAATTGAACCTGTGAGACAGGGGTGCAGACTATAGAGTACAATAAGCAACAAATAAGGAAAACAAAATTTAATTCGCAAGGTTTGTTTACGTTTCACCATGTTTGTGATTGAAATTGTAGAGGGAACTCTTATTTTCAAAACTAATAATTTTACCTCATCCATATTAATATGTAATTTTTATTCAATATCAAATATAAACTGATAAATTTCAAGATAAAATGCTTCATTACAAATTTTTCATTTCTTTTCACTGCATTGCTAAAAAAAACAGGAATCTGCTTGAATTTATCTGAACAAAGTGTAGAAGTCAACCAGGAACAGTTTATGCATTACTATATATAAACTACAACACGTAATCGGTTATTCGTTCCGTTTTGATGTTACATACTGATGCATGTGTTTTGTTTTAGCCTAAGATCCTTGGAACATTAATGTGATAGATATTTTAAACATTATTTTACTCAAGGATGGAACTGTTTTACTTTGAAAGTTGTATTCTAGTGATATCTATTCAGTACGGATTTTCCGTATTTATTTTTATTTACCAGTGTTATTTGAACTTCTGGTTTTAACATACACAAGTTATTAAAAGTTTTTTTTGTTGTTATTTTGGCTTATTTTAGCACTCTTGAAGTGTTCTAGAATCAATAAAAAGCATTTTAAACTTCTATTTGATGATGGAAAAAGGGTTTTCCCATGAAAATACGGCAAACGACCACAAGATTTGAAATTACCAGTTTCATTAGACGTTTTCTAACAGTTACAAAAAGTTTTTTTGCATGAAATTTCGTGGTGAGAAGGGGGTGCGGACAATTACCAGTGCAAACTATACAAGGCCCATTACAGTAATCCCCTTTTTTACCACTTGATCAATATTGGAATTTTTTTATGTGGTAATTCATTATAAAGAATATTCCTACACGGTTTGATTATATTTAAATTCATCTGTCCTTGAAAACAAAATCCAAATCCAATTTCCCATTTAGTTTTAATGTAAACTATATCCTTCTCTTGTTAAGGCCTTTCAAAGGAACATAGCTATCAAGTTTGGTTTCAAATTTCTAGAAATGTTCATGGATAGGATGTTTAGAATATCATGATCAATGCACTATATTTTGTGTATCTTATAAGGAGTGATGAACCTTGGAAGATTTAGATATCTTATAAGGAGTGATAAACCTTTGAAGATTTAGATATCAAGTCAGTACCATAGGGTTTTGCTTGTATTTCATGCAATCTTTACCCAAAAATTATATTTTTAGATAACAGACAATTTTCATGTAATCCATACATGTAATGAGGAGATCATTGTATTTAAAGCATTTTTTCTAAATTCTACCAGGAAAATAAAAATTTCAAAACATTCAAGCTGATTTTTTTTTCAGAATCAAGATAACATTCCTGTCCTTCAACATGGTGGTAAATATATAACATAAAACATAGATATAAGAAGATGTGGTATGAGTGCAACTCTCCATCCAAGTCACAATTTGTAATAAAATGCTCCGCTGGGGGCAGCTTGATACGACCGCAGAGGTCGAACCCTGAACAGTTGGTTCAAGTATGGACACAACATTCAAGCTTGATACAGCACTGAATTTGGATTGTGATTAAATATTTGACACAGCATAGGTTTCTGACACAGAATGAATGTGGTCTTAGAACTTAAAATTTTTTTAATTTACCTATTCAAACCATATCATTATTATTTGCTTTTATATATAAATCAGAAATAACCAATTTAAAATGGAAAATTTTAAAGAAAAAAAAAGGAAAAAAAATCCCCCCCCCCAATTTTTTGAACCCCCTTAAGATTCATCACCCCCAAACTCAATCCCAGCCTTCCCTTTGTGGTATGGTACCTTGCAGTTCAATTTCAGAGAGATCCATACACTTGAACACTAGTTATTGTCTGGAAACTAGAAAAATGCTTGTTTTTTGGCCCCTTTTTTGCCCCAAATTCCTAAACATTTAGGGCAATTACCCCGAAACTCAAACCCAGCTTTCCCTTTGTGATATGGAACCTTGTAGTACAATTTCATAAAGATCCATACACTTACACACAAGTTATTGTCCTGAAACTAGAAAAATGCTTGTTTTTTGCCCCTTTTTGGTCCCTAATTCCTAAAATTTTGAGGCAATTACCCCCAAAATCAATCCCAGCCTTCCCTTTGTGGTATGGTACCTTGCAGTACAATTTAAGAGAGATCCATACACTTGAACACAAGTTATTGTCTGGAAACTAGAAAAATGCTTATTTTGGCCCCTTTTTGCTAAACGTTTTGGGCAATTACCCCCAAACTCAATTCCAGCTTTCCCTTTGTGATACTGTACCTTGTAGTACAATTTCAGAAGGATCCATAGACTTACACACAAGTTATTGTCATGAAACTAGAAAAATGCTTGTTTTTTGCCCCTTTTTTTGGCCCCTAATTCCTAAAATTTTGAGGCAATTACCCCCAAAATCAATCCAAGCATTCCCTTTGTGGTATGGTACCTTGCAGTACAATTTCAGAGAGATCCATACACTTGAACACAAGTTATTGTCTGGAAACTAGAAAAATGCTTATTTTTAGCCCCTTTTTGGCCCCTTATTCCTAAAAGTTTTGGGTAATTACCCCCAAACTCAATTCCAGCTTTCCCTTTGTGATATGGAACCTTGTAGTACAATTTCAGAAAGATCCATAGACTTACACACAAGTTATTGTCATGAAACTAGAAAAATGCTTGTTTTTTGCCCCTTTTTTGGCCCCTAATTCCTAAAATTTTGAGGCAATTACCCCCAAAATCGATCCCAACCTTCCTTTTGTGGTATTGAACCTTATGGTAAAATTTCATAGAGATCCATTCACTTAAACTAAAGTTAGAGTGCGAAAACCAATGTGTCTTTGGACGACGACGACGTCATACCAATATACGACCGCAAATTTTTGCGGTCGTATAAAAAGTAAACCATTATAGGTCAAAGTACTGGCTTCAACACAGAACCTTGGCACACACGGAACAGCAAGCTATAAAGGGCCCCAAAAATGACTAGTGTAAAACCATTCAAACAGGAAAACCAACTGTCTAATCTATATAAAAAACGAGAAACGAGAAACACTTATGAACCACATCAACAAACGACAACCATTGAACAACAGGTTCCTGACTTAGGACAGGTGCAAACAAATGCAGTGGGTTTAAACGTTTTAACAGGCGTCAACCTTCACCCACAACCTGAAACAGTAGTAAAACATTACAACATAGAAAGACACACTATAAAATATCAATTGAAATGGCTTAACTCGATCAAAAAGAAATATTAACAAAACAAGTAAACATACACTGAACAAATAAATTTGATCTATGACACAACATAAATACAATATGTAAAACAATGTCAGAAATACCCAGATCACAATTAAGTTGAGTTTTATGTGGATACATACCAATAATTCATCTACATGTTGTGGTCCAATACCGTACTCCTTCATTCGTACAACAATATCATATCCAGACCAGACTTTAGATGCTTGATCAAAGCTACTTTGTTCTAAATGGTCTATGTTATTCTGTATAATCCTCATAAAACCTTCCACCTGAAACAATTTATACAGCTTTGATTGCTTATATCTTCGTCATTTGAACTCTAGGGACAGTTGTCTCATTGACAATCATACCGCATCTCTGTATTTTTATATTGATGATTCGGTTACAGAACCACAATTAATAGAAACATTTTTCTAAACAAAAGCTGACTTTCTTCTATTACCATTCCTCATTAACTTAAATTCTAATAAAAGAAGAATGTGTCTGAGGATATGAATGCCCCCCACTCAAGCTTGCTTATATGTGAAAATACTTTTGGGACGGATGGAAGGATGGACGGAAAGACAGACAGAAGGACAGACAGTCAAGGGTAACGCTAAAAGCCCCCTTCTCCTAGTGGCGGGGGCATAAAAAACCTTTGTTAATATTGTATTTTTTCAGTTTATTATTTTTTCTTAGAACTAAATAACTGTTAGACCCTGTGTTACTTTGGATTCATTATTATTCATGGGGTACCAGTTTTCATAGATTTAGTTGAGAGACAAACCATGAATCTAAATGTTCAACGAAGTATGAATTTCCTATAGGCTTGTATGGAATCTTTGGAAAATACAAGAAATAAAAGTTTCAACGAAAAATCAGTTTTTCTTTAATCTTGAAAATTGGTACCCATGAAAATAGTTGAATCCACAGTTTATTTTTCAAACCATGTCTAGATTTCATGAAATGTCTGCTTATAAATATTATTTCTTTTATGTTTTGTGTTTCATTTCTTTGGGACTAAAAAAATATTGAAACAAAGCTTTTGTTATAAACTATATCAGATATTTAAAATTAACAAAAGGATGAATTTCTCCTTGATAACTGCATCCACAGATCTGTGGTCCATTTAAAAAAGAATAAATGAAAATACAATGTAATATTCAACAATTATTGTGAATAAAAGATGATGTGGGGTTAACGTCAAAGAGAAAGCGACCCAACAATACAAATAACCAAAAGACCAAGCTAAGATTAAATAACAATATTACCATCTGCTGTAGCCTCAGGTGTTCTACTGGTTTAATTTCATGTATAACTGAAAAGGAAAGATTTTTATTTAATGTACATGATGGCTCAAATTGTTTTGAATCTGCTAATAAAAAATAACAGTATACACAGGATGTTATTCTTTCTTTTAACCAAAATTCTTATGTACCATTGGCCATTTTTTTTAAATTTTTATGATTATGTTGTTTAAAGAGAAAGTTTAGATAGTTTGATACAACAAACAATTATCAACAACTGTCTTTATAAACAGTATATAATTGTAATATAAGCTTATAAATATATATTATATATCAATGTTATCTTATGTTTTATATCATTAGGCCTAATCATATAAACCTGTATATTTTCATCCCAATTCACATTTTTTTAACGTTATATTTTTTTTCCATCAGTAAACATTCATTCTGTACATGTCTGCTTCTGCATTATGTACAAGTCAAAATATGTTTGTTGCATTTTATGCTTGACATAATAAATAAAGGCAACAGTAGTATACCGCTGTTCAATAGTCATAAATCGATTAAGCGAAAACAAATCTGGGTCACAAACCAAAACAGAGAAACACATCAACTATAAGAGGAAAACAACGGAACAACAGAAACACTGAACTGCAACAAAAACAAACGCCAACATACATAGAAATGGACTATTTGATAACAACTGCCATATTCCTGACTTAGTACAGGACATTTTAAGAAAAAATGGTGGGTTGAACCTGGTTTTAAGGCTAGCTAAACCTCCCGATTATATGGCAATGTTAAATATACCGCTAAAATGACAACATTATGTGACAGAAATACAGTACAAATAAACACAAGAACACTCAGGACAGAGAAACACATAAATAAATAAAACAATAGTACATTACATAAGTATTTCTTCTTGGCATCTGAATTCGTCATTGCTCCTGAACATGCATGAAATATTTGCCAATGGAGGTTAAGCAACCAACAATCAACATTCATTGCTCATAAAAGTGTAAAACATTGTATCAAGGAGATATTTAAGTGAAAAATTATTCACTGATAAAAACAAAATTTAGCCTACTTTAAGTTCATTCAAGCAGTTCTTAACCCTCAACTATATTTCACTTACATTATAATTAGACAAAATCCATTTCAGAGCCAATTATAGTAGCTTAAATCTGACCTTCAACCTTGGTGGGTTTGTAAGGCGACCTTACAACCTGACGTCTCACTTAAAAGGATCTTTTTTTTTAAATGTACAAAAACCCAGAATCCTATCAGTTTAGAACTGAGTAGTTTGCTTAAAAGTCATCTAATGACCTAAGACATAAAATATTCAGTGATTAAAACAAACTTGAAATCAAACATCAATTAATCCCTGAATATAAAGAAACAAACTTTAGCACTTGTACACCTGTGACCAAAGGCTTGGAATGCCACAAATAGTAAATCTTTGATATAACAACCAAATGTAAGTAAATCTTCACACAATAAAAGCCTACTCATTTCATGTATTTCTTTATACGCTTTATCAAGTTGATCATCAGTAAAGTTTTCACTTCCTCCTTCTCTAGCTGAATCTTCTATGTTGTGAGCTTCATCCAAGATTACTATTTCATCCTTCAAATTTATTTCCATCTATAAAATATATAAAGTTTCTTACATATTCATTCTGGAAAATCATCAGAATTGTCTCAACATATCATAAAATGTTGATAAACATAAATATTTTCCAGTTTTGCTCTTAGTTGCAATTTTAACATGCCTTAAGGTCTTATGAACTTACAGTAAGGTGGTGTATAACAAACAGCAAATATCAAAAGGCCTCCATTTATAGTACTTTATGTACTATTGGATTTGCAGTGATGTTTTGAACTCAAATGTTAACTTTAAATCCTTTCATTTAGTGACTGTCAATTACAGATAAGCAGCAGACTGACATCTAATTAAAATTAAAGTTATTTCTTATGTTGCATTCAGAAAACTGTGAAAGAACTTTTATTTGATGAGGTACCAATTTTCATGGTTTTCGTGGATGATTTTATCCACAAATTTAAGTGTCCAACGACATAAGACAACTTTTGTTCAAATTGATAAGATTCCCACGACTTTCAACCTTATAATCTCATGAAAAATTAGTTTTGATCGATGAATGTCAGACTTCCGGTGATGATATGTGATGGTGAAGTGTTCTTTGTTTCACCTCATAATTCTCATACCAAAAAATTAAATTTTATATTGGGCTTGCTTTTTTTATTTCATAAGAAATAATTCTATAATGTACATTTGTAGCATTTTTTTTATGTAACACTTTTCTTTAAGTGACATGTTTATGGCCTAATTAACACCTTTGCTTATCGTCAATCTGTTGATCATTTGACCTCGGGTTAAACAGTGTCATCACTTCTGATTACACGTGTGCAACAATTAAAATGTTTACTTTGCAATTTTCTTTAATCGAGACAATTTGTAAGCAAAGATGAATTAGCTTATTTCCGAAAGCAATTATTTTATAAAAATTTGATGAATGCATGTTGTCGGTAATGAAAGAAATGCATGTTGTCAGTAATGAAAGATGAACAAGTGCAAATAAAAACTTTATTCTGCAATGTCCCAAAAATGATAATAAAACAAGATATGATTATTTTCAAAAATCTTCGTTTCTGCTGGCTTCAAGTTCTTCACTCGATTTTTTTAGGAAACTAAAATCCACGATTTAAGAACCCACGAACATGTAACTTTTGCTCAAACCACGAAAATTGATACCCACGAATAAAAGTACTTTCACAGTAAATGATTTTTAAGTGCAAATGTTCATCAAGAATACACTTTTAAGGTGTCCAATTTTCAGCCTAAAAATGCTTATTGTAATTAGTTAAAACAAAATCCTGTTGGACAAATTTTCCTATAGTACTTACATTTTGTCTGATAATTGGGTCAATAAGATAGTTGTAAGGACAGAACACTATGTCTATTTCTTTTCTAAAACTTCTTACACTGAAATATGGGCACACCTGAAAAGATATTTAAAAGTAAAGACAATAAAGCACAGACACACAGCTCCATACAAGCTATCCATATGAATCTTTGACATTTGATTGAAATGCAACAGTTTTGACAGAAAAAGTGTTAAAGGTGCATATGATCTTTTTTTTCTTTCTGAAAAATGCAGACATGATAAACTTGCATGTCTTGGGTTGTGTGATCAATAAATAGACATCCAAAAGACAGGTTATATATTTTCAGATCTATAATGTATTCATATCAAAATTAGTCTAGCTTTAGTATTCTTTCAACAAAAATATGTAATTTAATTTACTAATCTGGAATTCAATGAATCAAGCATTGGCATCAATTTTGACAATAAAAATGTCCATGTGACTATTGCTCCAGTAAGAATATCTATTTTTATAGTAAGGAGTATAGAAAAGCAACAATGTTTGCATTCAGAAAACATTTCTGCTGTTATATAAGAAATACAACATTGAACGATTTTATCGGCTGAAGAAGTAGCTATCATTATAACCTGGGTTGGAAGTTTTGAATTGGTCAGGTATATAAATTGTTACCTTTTTCTCTTTACAAAGATGAACTAAATCTTCTAAATCCCATGCTTCAGATAAACCATATTCCTGTAGGTTGGAGTAATGTGGGAAAATTTTCTTTACTCTGTCATTAAACTTACAACCAGGACCCTGAAAACAAAATGCTGAAGTATGCATTATTATTCAAGTAAAAGTGCATCAATCAATTCAACAACAGGTTAATAATAATAATTTTTTGCTGCCATTAAAACAGCATTTAAAAAAAAATAAAAATTGAATTTTTTTAGGTGAGTGTAAAAGAGAGGCGAAAGATACCAGAGGGACATTCAAACTCATGTCAAAAATAAACTGACAATGCCAAAAAAAGAAAAAGACCAACAGACAAACAATAGTTCACAAAACACAACATAGAAAACTAAAGACTGAGCAACACAAACTCCACCAAAAACTGGGGGTGATCTCAGGTGCTCTGGAAGTGTAAGCAGATCCTGCTCCACGTGGCATCCGTCGTGTTGCTCATGTTCGACATGGTAGATCATGTTAGTTGTTATTTAAATTTCATTTATCATTAATTCTGATATTCATATTTGAAAATGAAGGATTGGATTGCAATTTGAGTCTAACAAGCAGAATTTAACTGCACTGAATACAATATTTTTCATATTTATCCATGTTACATAAATGAAATATTGGGACTAAATTGTTTACCCAAAATCCCTACACACACTTGACAAAACCCATAGCAAATACACAAGACTTTTATTTCTGTTCTTCATCTAAGTCACAGCAAGGCTTTCAAACCAGAAACAATAGCTTACACCTCACTACAATTTCAAAACAACCCTTATAGTCTACTTTAGGCTTACCACTATTTCATCAATATTTACCAACTTACATCCATTAATTCTTTACACCCTTCATTTTTATTCTTCATTTTAGAGACCGCTGGATGTATACACGTGAATTCCTTACTGGCTAAAATGGTCATTCTATAAAATAAATGCATTAATAGAAACTAACGCACAAATGTATAGTATTAAAGCGTTTCTTCTATATCCAGAAAATACTCTACCAATATGACAAGAGTTATCTCTCTTACCATAATGATTTTTGACAATTGTGATGAGAGTAAGAATCACACTAATGATTTTTAAATTAGGGCCTTCCAAAGAAGGCATGTGTGTTGCTTGTCCTAAGTATTTATAGAAAGATGCACTTTTGTGGGATAAATAACAACCTCTGAAATAAGTGATAAAAAATTTAAACTATAAGGTGCACAACTTTCATTCTGCAGAAGTGCTGTTGTAAGCATTGTTGTTTTTTCTGGAGGAGTCTTGTTTGTATACTTCATTTAAACCACAATGAAAACCTGTGGAAACTCCAGGAATCATAAACCACAATGAAAACCTGTGGAAACTCCAGGAATCATTCTATAAGAATTAAAATTGGAAGCATAATTTCACTTTCTAATGAATTATGCATCCTTTCCTATATACTGGAATACAAGACAATATAGATTTATTCAGTGAACTCTAAAATCAGATGACATTTATAATGCTAGTTATATCTTACCTGGTATCCTTATAAGCTGTTTTCTTTAACTCCCTGACAATCTGAGAAATCTGTTTATGTGTTCTGGTTCCAAAGTATATCTTAGGTACCCTGAAATAAAATGAAAAACTAAAGACCATTCTAACATATTTTTTTCCCCAAAAAATCATATAAATATACTGTAAATTCTTTTATTTTCCTGTGTACCAATTTTCCTAGGTTAGAGAAAATTGTATTTTCGTGGATACATTTTTTTATTTTGATTTCGTGATTTTGCCAAAGTTTGTAAATGAAAACTTCATTGAACATTTTAATTTGTTGTTTCCCTTTACCTACAAAATCAATGAAAATTAGTACCCCAGGAATAATTTTTTGGCAAAATGAGGTTAGTCCTACTTAAGTTTCAGAACTCGAAACAAAAAAGTATTTCAAAATCCCACAAAAATCAGGGATGGATCCAGGATTTTAGGTTAGGGGGGCACAAACTTAAATGTTCGCCAAGCAGAGCAATGCGAAAAAATTTTCGAGGTAAAATTATCGAAATATTCTTTATTAAGCTGAGGACAACCCATGCTTTGCAAATTATTAGGGGGGGGGCACACACCTGCCACCCCCCCCCCCCCCCCTGAGTCCGCCCCTGAAAATAATTCAATTCAAGTGTACACTAGTTTCCTCTAAGGAGTACATAGTAAAACAATATGGGGGATTTTTAAGGCATTTTCATTCAATGCACACTTTTTCTGTTTGACAACATCATATGTAGAAATGGCAAAGTCTGTTTTGAAATAGGAAAGACTTCAATTCAACAAAGACTGTAAAGTCTGCAATCAAATAATGTCAAATGAAGGGTATCCATAAAATTGGCCAAATGGTCTATCAATTAATGATGTAACCTTGACTTTTGACCAAATGACCTCAAATTAATAGATTTTTTTTCATCCCACAGCACATTATCTTCCAAAGGTTGGTCAAGATCTGATTAATGGCTCAAAAGATATTGTCCCAAGTTTGGTAAAGATATTCTTTTAGTCTTTGTTAAATTTGCACTTTTCAAAAAATGTGCAGAATTTATCTTTGTTTCAAATAAAGAATAAATGGAGAATGATGCCCCCGCTTGCATACAACATTATAAAGGGACATAACTCAAGAAAGATAAAAGTGACCCTACCAAAATTCAACTTGATCTGTGTTTTGTGGTAAAAAGCATTGTGTATAAGTTTCATAACATTTGGTTGAGGCAACTTAAGTTAGAGAACGGAAACTAAAAATTTTGCATTTTTTTCCATTTATAAAGGGACATAACTTGAGAATGGTTAAAGTGACCACACCAAAATTCACACTTGATCTTTATTTTGTGGTAATAAGCATTGTGTATATGTTTCATAAAATTTGGTTGAGGCAAACATAAGTTAGAGAAAGGAAACTAAATATTTTGCAATTTTTCCATTTATGAAGGGGCATAACTCTAGAACGGTTAGAGTGACGCTACCAATATTCCATCTTGATCTGTATTTTGTGGTAATAAGCATTGTGTATCAGTTTCATAACATTTGGTTGAAGCAAACTTAAGTTAGAGAATGGAAACTAAAAATTTTGCAATTTTCTCCATTTATAAAGGGACATAACTTGAGAATGGTTAAAGTGACCACACCAAAATTCACACTTGATCTTTATTTTGTGGTAATAAGCATTGTGTATATGTTTCATAAAATTTGGTTGAGGCAAACATAAGTTAGAGAAAGGAAACTAAATATTTTGCAATTTTTCCATTTATGAAGGGGCATAACTCTAGAACGGTTAGAGTGACGCTACCAAAATTCCATCTTGATCTGTATTTTGTGGTAATAAGCATTGTGTATCAGTTTCATAACATTTGGTTGAGGCAAACTTAAGTTAGAGAATGGAAACTAAAAATTTTGCAATTTTTCCATTTATAAGGGACGACATCAAAAGTTCAATGTAGGATAAAAAACCTAATTCACATAGTTTTTTCACTGACATCCCCCCCCCCCCCCCCCCCCCACCCCCTCTTAACTTAATTTGGGAAAAATTGATTGACCAGTATGGATATATGTAAAATTGATTTTGGATAAACAAAACTTGATGTAAACACGTATAACTCTTGAACGGTTGTGTATAAGTTTTATAACATTTGGTTGAGACAAACTTAAGTTAGAGAACGGAAACGAAAAATTCAGCAACTTTTATGTTTATAAAGGGACATAACTCAAGAATGGTAACAGTGTCGCCACCAAATTTCGTACTTAATCTGTATTATGTAGTAACAAGCATTGTGTATAAGTTTCATAACATTTGGTTGAGGCAAACTAAAGTTAGAAAACGGAAACAAAAAATTTGTACTTGATCTTAGTTTTGTGGTAATGAATATTGTGTATAGGTTTCATAAGGTTTTGTTGGGGCAAACTTAAGTTACAGAATGGAAACTAAAAATTTTGCAACCTTTCGATTTAAAAAGGGGCATAACTCAATAATGGTTAAAGTGACACTAACCAAATTCAACTTGATCTGTGTTTTATCAGTGGAAGTCAAAATTAAACATTGCATTGTATAAAGCATTGATTGTAGTTGATTCAACTATAATCATGGACAAAGGAAGATAACTCCAATTTTAAAAATTACTTGATATTAGAAGAAAATAAAAATTTTGCAATTTTTCCATTTATAAAGGGGCATAACTCTAGAACGGTTAAAGTGATGCCACCAAAATTCAAACTTGATCTGTGTTTTGTGGTAATAAGCATTGTGTATAAGTTTCATAACATTTGTTTGAGGCAAACTAAAGTTAGAGAACGGAAAACAATTTTGGGACGTACGTACGTACAGACGGACAAGGGTAAAACTTAATGCCCCCACTGCTACGGCGGGGGCATAAAAAGAATGGTGCTTTGAAACACCCAAGATATATGTTTATGACTCAGAATTTTTTTACTGCAATGAAATGTAGGATTAATTTCCTACAACTGTCAAATTCAAGGGAATATTTTTTTCAAACCTTTTTCGTATGCAACCCGATGTGACCTACTATTTGGTGGTATTACACCTTTATTGTTCAAAGATATCACCAAGAAACAAAATTCTGCACAAAATTCATTTTATCAAGTGATGCTGTGAAAAGTAAAATAACAAAAATACCAAACTCCAAGGAAAAGGAAAGTCCTTTATCAAATGACAAAATCAAAAGTGCAAACACATCAAACGAATGGAAAACAACTGTCATGACTTGGTTCAGTGATTTAGACCTCAATTTAGAAATCAATAGGGGTTTTCATCATACCAATTTTGGTAAAAGCTGAAAATATTGTTCAAAGGATAACATCCTGAAACTGAATTTTACCTTAATTTCAATCTATTAATGCTTTGACTTGACCATTGACTTATTGACCCCAAAATCAACCATGTTCTTCCTCTTCCTATGAGGCATTATCAAACTAAGTTTGGTAAAGATATTTATTATGACTCAAAAGATTCTGTCTAGAATCTGATTATTATATGATGATGACATTCATCATACTATAATCCAATGTAGATATTGAAATGTTTATGTTTGTTACAGGAAATTCCATCAAATACAATCTGATCGAAGATAGAGAAATAATTCTGTAAAAAATTGTTCTATTACAATGCAATTTGAAGATTTGTCTTAGGAAAACTTTCTTATATGTTAATAAAAGAACAGAGCTCCAATGTCCCTGCATTGCACATATTTTATCTGTTCTGTCCAAGGGCAATAACTAATTTTTTGGGGTTCTTTTATTTTACTAGAGAGTTGAAGACTTGAAAGCAATTTCCGATATATTTAATATTTCCAAGGGAAACTCCTTAAAAATATTTTATCAGCATTTATTTTGGAAAATGTCCAAGACATTGCTGTTATATACAATTTTTCATATAATTAATATTTCCAAGGAGATAACTCTTTTAAAAATAGTTGATCGGCACTGATTTTTAAACTTGTCCGACACATTGCTGATATAAACCTACAATATAAGTTTCATAAAAATCTGGCAAGAATGGTACACATGAGAGCGCTAACGATGCAATTTTCCCTATAATTAATGTTTCCAAGGACATAACTCTTTTAAAAAATAGTTGATCGGCACTGGTTTTTAAACTTGTCCGAGACATTGCTGATATAAACCTTCAATATAAGTTTCATAAAAATCTGCCAAGAATGGTACACATGAGAGCGCTAACGATGCAATTTTCCATATAATTAAAGTTTCCAAGGGGCATAACTCATTTAAATAAATGGGGAATGTGTCTATGGGACACAGATGATGCCCCTGCTTGCATATAATGTTATAAAGGGATATAACTCAAGAACTGTAAAAGTGATGCCACCAAAATTCAAACTTGATCTGTGTTTTGTGGTAATTAGCATTGTGTATAAGTTTCATAACATTTGGTTGAGGCAAACTAAAGAAAGAGAATGGAAACGAAAAATTCAGCAATTTTTTTCCATTTGTAGAGAGGCATAACTCTAGAACGGCAAAAGTGACGCCACCAAAATTCAAACTTGATCTGTGTTTTGTGGTTATAAGCATTGTGTATAAGTTTCATAACATTTGGTTGAGGCAAACTAAAGTTAAAGAACAGAAACAAAAATTCAGCAATTTTTCCATTTATAAAGGGCATAACTCTAGAACGGTAAAAGTGACGCCACCAAAATTCAAATTTGATCTGTGTTTTGTGATAATAAGCATTGTGTATAAGTTTCATAACATTTGGTTGAGGCAAACTAAAGTTAGAGAACGGAAACCAATTTTGGGACGTACGTACGGACGGACAAGGGTAAAACTTAATGCCCCCTCTGCTACGGCAGGGGCATCAAAAAATTGATCGGCACTAATTTTTAAACTCATTCAAGACATTGCTGATATGAATCTATGACATTAGTTTTATAAAAATCTGGCAAGAATTGTATATGTGAGAGCGCTAACAAGACCGGATGGACGGACGCCCGTTAATTCTATGTCCTCAGCAAAGCGTTACGGGGAACAATAAAACTTGCACAAATATGCAGTATTAGAATTGATTTCATACAGATTTGTTTCATTCAATGTAATTTGTAAGAGATTACACAGAAAAAC